GGAGTTGGCAAAACAGCTGCCGTGTATGCCTGTGCACAAGAGCTGGGATTCAAGGTAAATATTGTAGTGTTTTCTCTTTTGCAGCTCACTGACTGTCTATTACAACTAGCTTTAATGACGTGTTTCTCACAGGTATTTGAAGTGAACAGTTCAGCCCTGCGCTGTGGTCGACTCCTCCTTTCTCAGCTGACAGAAGCGACTCAGTCTCATCAGATGGACCTTGAGAGTATTAAACCCTCAGCTGTCGAATCTGAATCTGGGGTCATTAACCAAAGCCAAATCAAACCTGCTCCAGTTTGTGAGTGATTTTCCTTGATAAAAAGGCTATAGCTAATTAGATAGATTGAATCTGAAAGGATTGATTTTATCTTCAGCTTCCACAGGCAAGGAAGCACATAGAAAAGTTACTACTTCACCATCTAAGGAGACTTCAGTTTGTCGAAGTGATTCCCATAACATCAGAAATCCACAACCAGTAAAGCTCACTCGCTTCTTCAAGTTGAGTAGCAAAAAATCTCTAGTTAAAACATCTGATGGTCCAGAACGCTGTAAGCATGGTAAGTGCTTGTGGCTTGTTTAAAAAGTATGTGGATAAAGATGCCATTTAAGAAATAGTTCACTTACATATATTTAAGATAGATTAAATAACTTTGCACTTGTGTAATGATGCATTCAGTAAAACCATGGATGGATGCTTTTTATAAACATATTGCGGCAGTTAAGTTATTTCATTATTTATTATTAATAATTCCAAATCTAATTACAGCTACTGTTGAACCAGATAGACTTCAGAAATCGGGATCTGGGTGTAAAAGTGAAAGAGGCAAAGAGTCAGCCTCTAAAAATCAGAGCCGTGCAATCCCTGTGTCACTAATACTGTTTGAGGAGGTAAAAAGTCGTTGTTGTTAAACTGATCAGATAACATGCTTCATGATTTGAATAAATGAATTATTATATGATTTACCCCGTTCTACTTTTTGATGATAAATGTGCTCCCCAGGTTGATGTTATTTTCCCGGAAGATGTTGGATTTCTTACAGCTATTAAGACTTTTATGAGCACAAGCAAAAGACCCATAATTCTGACAACCAACGGTAAGCAACTTGTAATGGCACTATATGCAACGAAACATATTGGTTTGCTAAAATCTTGCTTACTCGTAGACCCATTATTTGGAGCAAGACTTAAGGGGCATTTTGACGAAATCCATTTCCGCACTCCTTCACTGGTGAGAACATGCATTTGAACAGTAATCTAAGCATATCACATTCTGATGAAGTAATTCTATATTTTTTTAACTCAGCAAACCATCAGGAGCTATCTGCAGTGTTTGTGTGCGGTGGAGAACATGAAAACTGATCCAGAATACATGGCCTTTCTGCTGTGTCAGAATAAGGGGGACATCAGGCAGAGTATTCTCCAGCTTCAGCTCTGGGTCTGTAGTGGTGGAGGGAGCACAGAACTGCAAATTCTCCAGAACACACTCAAAGTGAGTTGAATTGACATCTGTTGACGTTTTAATAATATTTGACTAGATATTTTTCAAGGCACTTCTATACAGCTTAAAATGACATTTAAAGGCTTAACTAGGGTAATTAGGTTAACTAGGCAGGTTTGGGTAATTAGGCAAGTTATTGTATAACGACGGTTTGTTCTGTTGAGTATGCAGAAAAAAACAATTTGCTTAAAGGGGCTAATACGTTTGACATTAAAATGATTCATAAGAAATTAAAAACTGCTTTTATTCTAGCTGAAATATAACAAATAGACTTTTTCCATAAGAAAACAATATCAGACATACTGTGAAAATTTCCTTGTTCTGTTAAACATAATTTGGGAAATATTAAAAAAAATCAAAAGGGGGTTAATAATTCTGACTTCAACAGATTTGGCTTCAGCTTTGACTAATCTAATGTATATGCACAAATATAATATTGTATAGCCTCCTATTAAAATATGAATTTAAAATATAGATTTGTGAGGCGTGTACTTATATTTCTGGAGTACTGTATGTATATATATATATATATATATATATACATGTATATTTTAGGGCTGGGCGATTTTTCAGATTTTTTTCGATTAATTCGTATTTACGTTTTAAGACGATTTAATTTTGAATCAAATCGGGAAATCGCGATTTAAAAATATATATATATATATTTAATACATTATAATGGCACCAATGCGCTTGGGTTCACTCTCTGTATGAAGCAGGAAGCACACCAGAAGCGCTTCTCGGCGACGCGCCGCGCAGCACCACGCAGCGGCATGGATTTTAGAATTTTAAACAGGTTTCTATACACACACCAGCGCCGACCAGCCAAGATTCATGAAGCAGTTCATATTTCAGCCGGCCCACAGAGCGCCATCTGATTAGTTTCATGTTAAATATCATGCGAATGTGTGCGTTTGGTGTGTGATAGTTTAAACTGTCATGTGCGCGCCGTGTCGCGGCGCTTCTGGTGTGTGACCTGCTTGACTGCCTGTTAAAGCGTGAAGTCATGTAGGATTTTACTTGTTGCACCCCTGTGTGGATTGTCAAGACATTCCCTCATCAAGTCGATAAACTCGATCTCAACATGTATGAAGGACGTAAAATCCTGCCATGTGAAAAACTGCACCGATCTTTTGGTTTGAACACGAGCAGAGGTGAGGGCCTGTAGCAGTGAAAATGAAAGTACCAGCCCCCATGACATTTTTTAGCGGACCTAATTGAAAACCAGATCAGGCAGCATAATACAGAGAGTGGAGCTAAGCGCGTCAAATGATCGGTATTTAAAAGGGGGAAAAATTACAATTAATATTAAATATAATAATATTAAATATATTATTTTATATTAGACACACATCTGGTGCTTTTATTTGCTCCTGCTATACATCCACAACTTCACACATTGGGTTAAATTAGGCTTTACAGTTTCCATGTTCAGTCCTTTACTTCCACTGTCTCTTTTTAAGAAAAATGCAGCATCCTTACAACCTGTCATTTAATCAGAAGACAAAGTCAAAGCCGAGCTGACAGCCAATCTTTCCTAGGCTCAGCAAAACTTGCAAAAAAATACCTCTGTATTCCTGCAAGTGCAATATTTACACAAATATTTCTTATTCAAATCTTCAGCAACACTATTTAACTCGTGAATTTGTTTTACATTTATTTACACCTTGACCGATTTTTGTATGACATGGCTATTAAAAATACAATGTTCCTTAACCAGATGGTTTTTCAAGTTACTTGAATGTTACTTCAGTCATGTTGTTGTAATGTTTTGAGAAGACTAGTAGTAAAAAAAAAAATCGAAATCGTGAATCGGTCAAACTTTATAAAAAACCTACATTTTTTTTGTTTGCTAAATCGCCCAGCCCTAATATATATATATATATCTGTGTTAACTGTGGTTGGCCATTATTTCAATTTTAAATGGATAGACCACCCAAAAATGATTTCCATTATTTACAAACTCAAGTAAATGACATTTTCACAATTACTGTATGCATCTTGTTTGTACATCATGACATTAACTTGATATCATCAAGCATAAACCGGATGTACTATGACTCAAATTGATTGGTAATAGATATTGATTTACTGGGGTGATGTGGATTTTTGTCTCAGTGACTTTGTGTACTTTTTATTTTATCAGCATATCTAAACTTTTTCCAAAAGATAAAAAAAAATTGAACACAGTTAGTCTTGTATTTTGACTGATTTAATTTTTTTTCAAATCAAACCAGCAGTCTCCAAGTGTGTTGGTGATGATAATGATATTCAGTTGCAGAGATTCATAAATAAAAATTGATTTGTGCATTCTGTCTTAAACTCAACAGTGTAGATCATGGACTGAGCTGAAAAATAGCAGATGTTTGGAGATCCTGGCAGAGAAAACCGGAGCTGGTCTACTGTACTTTATCATCGGAAGTCTTTTTTCACCCAAATTCTCGTCTCAATCTTTTTATCTGCAAGAGTTTTCAAATCCCAATACTAAAGGAGAGAAGTCAGAAGGCTTAATGTTACAGACTTCCTCAAATGTACATGAGAGAAAATCAGCCTGCAGGGGAAAAACACACAGGCCAAAAACTATTTCTTACCCATATTCAGTCAAGGCTTCAGATCCCTCGAAGCAAACTAACAAATTGGCTTCTGAACCTCGTGCTCGTGGACAAAGCAAATCACTCATATTTCAGCATGTGTTGTGCATTGGAAGTTTTTTCGACAACATGTCTTTTGTGGATGCTTGCTTACAAAAACCATCTCTCAGTAGAACTGAACTTTGTAAAACAGAAGCTCTTGGTTGGATGGGCGCCACACTGAAGGATAGTTTGTTAGACTTGCAAAGAGAAGAGCAAATCAGACAATATTTTGAGAATTCCTCCCAGCTACTGGCTTTTGTGGAAGTTTTGAGTTTCCATCGCTGCCAGACTGAACTCTCTGGAATCTGGACAGAAGCTGCAAGACTGAGAGAGAAGATGTCTTCAGAGAGATGGGAGCAAGTGATGGCTTCCTTTTCTCAGCCATTTGGCCAAAAATACCTCGCAACGTGTCACTGCAAATTCTGTGAACCTAGGTTTGTCTGTATACGTATAATTCACTTAAAATGTAAGCTGTTGTCATTTCCTCATCCCACCTGTTTCTTTCTGCTGCTAAACAAAAATTATATTTATATAAAAAAAACTTTTGTTTCCATCATTTCTCCTTTTGTGTTCAGCAGGAGAAAGAAACTCATCCAGGTTTAAATCAAATGTACGATGGGCAAAAAAATGTGTTTTCATTTTTGGGTGAACTATCTCTTTTACCTTTATTTATGCTGTGGTTAAGTTCTTGTGGTATCTGATTTTTGACTCTTGTTACAGGGTTGCCCAGAAGCACAGGGAGTTAGCATCCATACTGAATTCCAGCAGAAAGATCTGTTGTCTTCGTAATAAGCGTGCTTTTTTCATGGACTACCTGCCCACTCTGCGATCAATCTGTCGATCAGAGAGAATTAAAGGACAGCACTCGATTAGGTATTTTTTTTTATCATCATGCATGGTTATTATACAGCCAAGTAAGTGTACAGTTGTATTTTGTGCACTTCTTTTCATAGGAAAATATTGCAAATACATAATATTTTGTATGAATCAATGTTTTTTCACTATGCAAGATTTGTTTTTAAATAATATTGTTCACTGTTAGCGCATGTTATCCAATGCATTAACTAATGTTTTCAAAGGAGACCATGTTGAGGGCTGGTGCTTTGTTATAAATAAGTGATTTTATTTCTTTTTTACAATTGTGTATTTGTTCAAGCAATGTTTTCTTTTTCTTCTCTCTCTCTTTGTCCTGTCAGACGTTCACACTACCTCTCAAGCCTTCACCTACCCAGAAGCACTTTAGAACTTATGGCAGTGGATTTCCCTTGATGTGTGACTGAGCTGGTGCAGTAAATTTTCTTCAACTTTTGCGTGGTTTTCTGTATAGTTAAAGGGATGTGAACTTTCAGTTTTTTATGTTTCAGAAATATTTTATTTAAAGACTTGTAAAAGACTGTTTATGGCATCTTTGTGTTTACAAAAAGCCAAATGATGAAACTATTAACTGTTTTTGTTTTCCGCAAAGAGCACATCCTATACACTGGAAAACAGTTGAGTTTGCTTTAAAGTGAGTAACCCCATTGCTTTTAAAGCGATTTAGTTGAATGTGTGCATAATTATAAAAACATACAAGTTACAACAGGGTTACTCGCTTTTGTTATGGGGCAGGCCAGTTGCATCCATCTAACCCCATTTCAGATATCTTGAGGAAAGCCTAAAAATGAAGAGTAGAACGTGTAATAGCTGCAAAAGGTAAAATCAACTCCTCCTTGTATTTAGAACGTGAGGTCATTACAATCCTCATTAGTCAGGTGTCGACCTTGTCCATATATGTTTGTGTTTGTATGTAAACTCTTGGATGTTTGTTTGTTGGTGTTGAGTATTGAGTATTCAATGTTTAAACACTGCAGCTCTATTTATATTCTCATGAATTAAATAAAATGACTTTGAACAGATACTTTAATCCAAGGGGCAGTACACATTCCCTTTAAGCAGCAACAAAGGGTTAAGGGCCTTTCTCAAATTTCCAACGATGACAGCTTAATCTTTGTGGGGTTTAAATTAGCACCCTTAAGATAAACATTTAGCTTCCAACCCAGAGCAAGGTCTCTTAATAGAAAAAGACAGTTAGGCTTGTTGTATAAAACTAAGTGCCACCTTTGAATAGGGCTGTAATGACATGTAAAATACCATGTTGTTGCCATTTAACGTTTAAAGCCTGACTATGTTCCAGTTTAACACCCGGGTAAATCAATAAAGTCTTGGGTAATGAATTAGAAAAGTATTGCGTAATGTTTTACTCAATGGCTGAAGGAACTTCCTAGCACTCAGCTGATCAAGTCCAAAATAAGTCAAACAGTCATCTGGTGGTGATTCACTCCTGCAGGAGCTCAAAAAATGCAACAGCTTGCAGTAGAGCATCACACATCTCTTCCCCTTTATTCCTACTACTCATCTGAAAGGAGTTCCTGTGCTTTAAAACCAGGTCATGAGGGAAAAGAACACGTGGGTCTCGCTTCATCACCGAATCCGTCATCATCTTTCTCAGTGTCTCAGCTCCACTTGTCCGACAGTCTCCCACCATTAGGTCAAAATGGCGACCAACGGATATGCGCATCATGTTAAGGACTTTAGGGGGGCTTCCTGGTTCCCTGGCTTGAGAGAGTAAAGCAAATAGCATGGCCTCTACTGTGCGGAGATGGACCATGACTGGAAATAAAGATGTATTCTGAGGAGAGATACTTGGCTTTTCCACTAAAAAGAAGTCAGCAGCAGGAAAGCTTGAAATAACTGAAGAAATCTAGAGTAGACAAAGAATATACACGGTAATTTTAAGAGGTTATCCCAGTGCACATTCACTAAATAGAAGTAGAAATCAATATTATGACAAGGTAAACCACAACTCTTGAGGTAACACTATTTTGATGGTCCATTTGAGTATTCGTGCATAGACTGTCTGCTTAATATGTTGATACTGCTCCAACAGACATTTCACTCACTATAAGAAATTTTGCAGGTACATGTCAACTTAGAATAACTTTAAACCCAACCCTAACCCCACCTAACAGTCTACTTATAACCTAATGAGAATTAGTTGTCATGTAGATGCAATGTAACTTAAATTCAACAAATGGACCATCAAAATAAAGTTTGACCACTTAGACATGGAATGTCAAATTAAATTCCTGGAAAACCGTTCCAACGCTGCTCCAACACATTTAAGCTGCGGTCACACAAGTGTTTGTGCGAAATTTGGTTGTAAGGCACTACGAAAAGGGGCGGGATTAAACAAGATTATTAGACATTAAAAAAGTGAGTGATTTAAATTTCTGTCCAGAGAGGTCATGTTTTGATCCTCGATTGGTCTCACGCAGTCAAGTGATGCGATTTCGCAGGTCAGAGTTCACAAGCTTAAAAAAAAAAAAAAAAAAGTTCACCAAGCTTGAACTTTGCACCACAGCTGACTGCAAAACTTAACGCATGAACCTGTGTTTCTAGTCTGACGCATTCACGCGCGTATGAATAGAAGTCTATGGGGAAAAGACCAGTGTGACCGCAGCTTTACCTGAAGGTTTCAAACAAGCTTGAAAGACTCAATTAGTTTGATCAGGTATGTTTAATTAGGGTTGGAACTAAACTGTTCAGGGCTGCAGCCCTCCAGGAATTGAGTTTGACATTCCTGACTTAGACATTTTGGCACATATAATTCTAATTATTTGTTTATCAAGATGGGAAATTACGATCAAAATGGATACAATTTTGAAAAAAACTGAACCTAAAATGTTTATCAAAAAAAATTGTGTTCTGCAGTAAACAAACAAACAAAAAACAAATACAAGATTGGTCTAGTGTGAGGATAAGGACATACTTCTAACCCTTTAATGAAAGCACATTATTAAAAATTATTCAATCACAGATCATTTTCATGCATTTTTTTAACATCAAAATGTCAGAAGAGTCAATATTTGATTTCTCTGTTGAAGCAAGATCTAATGCAATTTTTTTGTCCACATAAAACTGATGCACAGAACCAAGACTCCATCTTACAATTTGTTTATTTTTTATTTTCCAAGACGTGACCTTAAAGTCTCCATGAACCGGAAGCTTCGTTCGTTATTTATTTTATATTGTGAGTTGTAAATGACCAAACAGTGGAGGTGGATTTTTTTTCTACCGCAGGCTTATTGTATGCTGTAAAGAAGGCCTTTCATTCAGAAAGATCAGGAAAGAGGCTTTAGATAAGTTATTACAACCTAACAGACTCCTCCTGCTCACCATATCGGTTTGTTGTCAAAACTGACAGTTGAACCAGTGTGGTTAAGTATGTTAGCACACCCATTACCTCAAAATCAAGTAATCTGATAATTTAACTGAAAACAAACAGGAAGTGCATTTTGAGATTTCAATTAAAGAATAGAAGGGCAAACAGTTTTCTTAATGAAATGCACCGATGAATTGTTCACACACAAAACTGGCAAAGTGAGCTAACTAAATTGTAGGGTTAGTTTTGATTTCTTGGAGACTTTAATAAAGGAAAGGATTTCTCATTACTTTTAGTTTTATTGCAAAACACACACAATTAAATCGTTTTAAATATCAATCACTAATTCAAGTTCTTCAATCCTCAAGGATTGCAGGTTTACCTTCTCAGAACTAAATATTTAAACTCAATTAATATTAGAAACTTACATCTTCCAAATAATCAGATGCCAGATACGTGCCTTTCATAAAACTCTGGCACTCTGCTTGCTGCCAGTCGAGGACAGTTCTTGCCCGGTCCATGTGGGCCCAAGCAATTTTGTTTGTGCCACAAACAATGGATATGATAGAGCTTGCATCCTGCAAGATATCCAAGAACAAAACATAGCACAACATACATAGTTCATTCACAGAAGAAGTTCTAAACACAAATTTGCCCTACCTCCAAGTGAGCTCGATTAACATCTGGTTTTATAAATTTAGCCAGATGGACTTTCCCCTTGTTCCTCTTCCTTTTGTTATCTGGATTAAGAATGGAGTCGAACACCATGATGGCGCTCTTGTATTTCAGTAAGGGCACGTTAATGACACTCTCCAGACTGCTGAATGGTCCATGTCTGGTCCTGTACTTGACAATGTTCACCGATTTCCGTCCTCGCAGCAATTTAACCTGTTCCAGTTCTGACTCTGTGGCTGTATTGAGACGCTGGAGGATGACTGCACGTTGCTCTTCAGTGTAACATGAGTCCAGGGCTTTGGCATTTTCTTGTCTCAATTCAGGGGAAATGGATGCATTCGAGCTATCAAACTCTGAAAACATTATTTTGCTACTTCTACAACAGGTGAAGTGCAAGAATCGGAGTGCATAGTCAGGCAAGGAGCTTGGAGGAGGACGACTGAACAGACTGTAATGTCCTGCAATCAATCAAACATTTAATGGATTTAATCAAACAAGCGTACAAGACAAAACCATCAACATATCACATCACACATATTGCATTTTGTTCTATAGATTGCTGTATGGGTGTAAAAATACATTAATATGGATTGATCAAATGACTAACGATATGATGTATTGATTATTTGCATAATAAGCGGATACCTCCATATTTTTAAAGACGCATTTTTCTGTACTTTGTTTTTGGTAACACTACAATAACACGAATAATGATGTATTAAAATGTAAACCAAAAAATACTTTATTATGAATTAATAATGAGTTAATACATGCACTAAATTATGAAATAACTTTAACTACAACATAAGTCACAAGAGTTCATGTGTGAATAATGTCTACCTTAATTTCTTGTTAGTACATGTTGTTAATTAACATTTGAGTTTAAGCTAAATGTAACCAACATGAACTCATGAGCTGTTAATGTATAGTTATGTCATGACTGGGCCCACACGGAATCTGCGCACGCAGGTTTCTAGCCCATCATTGATTCTGTTTATTTGCTTGTGTAAAATGTGTGTACATTTATATTTATTCAATTTTCAAATTAATTTTAGCACAATTATTGACTAATATGAACATGTTCATTTAATTTATTTACAATATAGTTTGTAAAGTAATATTTTCTGTCTTTTAGTAGATATATAGAATACTTGCTTTGTTTACCAAATAAAGTGGATCTAATATAATTTGCATTGTAAACATTAAATACAAGTACAAAAGATATTACTTTGTAGTTCATATAGTAGGGTTTTATTTATGATACTCCCAAAATCATTCTGCATAAATCCGCAGATTTTTAACAAAATTCTGCGAAGAAATAGCAAAAAATTAATAGAATAGAATAGAAAAAACTTCTGTCTGTCCCCAATCATGACTTTACTAGGAGGGGCACATCACTATTAACTACTCACAAACTCCTGTTTAAACTGTTCATGTCATATGGTTCATGTTGACAACACTTTTCTATTGTTATTCACTGTAAATGAACTAGATGGATGTGCATAAGGAGTTCATGAGAAGTTAGTAGAATGGTAAAGTCACGATAAAATCCGATAAGAGTTCATGATGGTTAAATTAAGCATACTTATGTGGTACAATCATACACTAACAAGTAATTAAGGTATGTGACGTAGTTAAAGTTAGTTCATGATTAGCACATGCATAGACTAATCAGTAGTTCATAATACAGCAATGTTTAGTTTACATATTATCACATCATTATTTATATACTGTTATTGTAAAGTGTTACCCTTGATGTTGTGGACGACTTTGTCAGTTCATAAAAATGACAATATCTTAAAACTGATATTGATCTGCTGGAATCGAAATTGTATCCGAAAATTTTTTAGAGAGCTATTGTGTCACTGTAGAGTACATATTATATCGTAAGATATCATACCGATAGAAAGTAGCTATACAGTAATAAACAGAAATACAAGGCCAATGTTGCAAAGTTTGCAGAAAACTCCATTTCCTTAACCTCCAATTTTCAACCCTGCATGAGTTTCTTGCTTGTGCTGAAGATAAAATAAGACTTGATGGTCCTTGTATTCTTTCCCTACTAACGTTATGTATATCCAACATTAACAACATTGTTAGGTATATATTATCTAAAGTTGAGAAATAAACTCAAGCAGGTTGGCAGATTAGAAAACAATGACAGAATATACGAGCAAGATTATTCATATAGAACTATTCAAAAAGCTATTACTTGCATCTATGCTTGCATCTGCTGTTACCTTTGAGAACGACAGAGGACAGAATACCTTTCACGATCCACATATTTAATCGCCACACACTAGTGTTCGCTTTACATATGGGTATGCCTTACGCTCGTTGGGTTGTTGCCTTCAGTGGCCCGAGGTTGCGTTCTCGTGTGGAAACATGGCGTTTGTAACTGGTTCCGACTATATACAAGACGGGACAAAACGGCCTGCCTGGAGTTTCACTTTCGATCCCGAGAAGAATTTTTGACGTGATGTCGCCATTATATGAGGATATTGTGAAGTTTGTCGCGAATAATCTTAAATGCGAAATATGTTTTAATATTTTCACAAAACCCGTTACACTAGTTTGTGGCCATAACTATTGTCACACGTGCATAAAAGAATGCTGGGCTAAAAGCGTGAAAAGAGATTGTCCACATTGCCGGAAAGAAATAAACAGCAGTGCATTAGAGATTAATTTTACTCTATGCGACATTCTGGAGTTACAGGAGCTTGGTGGTTGGACATTCTGGGATATTCTGGCTGAAACAGACCAAGATCATAAAACCCAACATGCTGGGAGAGCAATTACAAAAGTGGCAAGTTCATGGTTTTAATCTTTAAAAGTTTATCTCAAACAGCCTAATAATGAAGCAAAAAAATGATGATTGAAATAACTGCTAGTCTAATATACCAGTGTCACCAAATGGGCCACTGCCCTGCAGAATTTATCTAAACCATAATCAAACTTACAAGGTATTCTTGAAACTTCCAAGCAGGTGTGTTCAAGTGAGTTGAAGCTAAACTCTGCAGGAACACTGGCCCTTCAGCACTGAGATTGGTGACCCCTGCCTTACACTGTAAATTATTTAACCGCAACTTAAAGGCTACTAGTTGAATTACTTTCACAGTGAGTTGTTTTACAGTAAATTACTATCAAAAGTAGTTAGTTTAGTTAGTTGGTTCATAGTTATTTTAAAAGCAAGTTATTGTATCATTTATAAAATAAATAACTGAAATGACAGCCATATAATTTGACTTACAGTAAATATGCCATTACTGTGATTTAATTGTAGGATGCTGTCGAAATAATGTATTCATCTGTATAGTTACAGTTATTAAGCTTAGTATCAAATTTTCACACTGTAAATTCTGTAAACACTGTTAGATGTAAAAAAAAAAAAGGTTACTTCAAAAGGTATAATCAGAAAATGTTTATAAAGTGTATGCATGAATATGAAGCACAATAGATAACACTTTACGATAAAGTATCATTACTTACAACTACGATTACTGAGCCTTATTACACGGTATCAGTGAACAACATGCCTATAAACAGTCAAAATATTTCAGCAAGTAGTAGGCCAAAAGATTTACATGTTAAACTTTTTTTTATATATATTTGAACTATAAAGATAACCAATTATGTTTTCTATCATTTCACTAATATGAAAACCACTGCAAAAACATTGTGAATATTCTAAAAAGCACTTTAAAAGTTTAAATATTAGTAATTATTCACAACATTTTTTGGCCCCACAATATTAATGTGCATGTTCATTGTCATCATATATTGAATTACTTAGTATCAGCAAATACATATTACATCAGATTACTGCAGTTTAACAGTTGCTGTAGAATTTCAAAGCAAATTCTAAAGTAATCGTTCACCCAAAAATTACAATTCTGCCATCATTTCCTCATGCTGTTTAAATCTTGTATGCATTTGTTTGGTTTTCTGAACACAAAGGGAAATAACTGGAAGATCTCCTCATTTGCCACCTTTAGAAAAGAAATACTACCACAGTAATCAATCTGTCTAGTCTGAAAGGTGATACAGATCTGAGTTGATACATTCTGGTTATCAGCAAAAAGATAATTCTTTCTTTCTTTTATACATTTTCCTTTTTATATACAAGTTTGATCCCTACCTTAAAAGCCAGATAATACCAGTCAAAAGACTATGCTGGGAAACCCTCTCTTAACACAAATAAGACAAAAAAGCAACATAGAATAGAACATAGAAAGTGTGCCTGTTCATTTAAAATAGGTATGGGTCTGTATATGATTCTGATGGTATGATAACCTTGGATAGAAATAATACGGTTTCATGGTATTGTGATTACTTCTCGGAAAAAAAGTTATTTTTAATGTCTGGGTAAAAAAAAAAAACTTTTATCCCCCATTGAACACAATATATTTTATTTTACAAAACATTTAAAATTTTTAGACCAGTAGCTTTTGATGTAGAGGTTCTTTTTCTGCTGGAGATAATTATTCATTCATTCATTCATTTACTTTTCAGCTAAGTCCCTTTATTTATCTGGGGTAAATAATATATGTGTGTGTGTGTGTGTTTGTTATACCTTAAGAACGGTATAACAGAAAAATTTGTCGGTTTTAAAACATTGACTTATCCAAACCACGGTAAACCTTAAGACTGGTTATTAGTTATGTATTATATTTTGGAATATACCAAGTTATTATTGACATGTACACTGTGCTATTCTCACCTGCTCATTAGGACAGTCTAATAAAACGTCTGGATTGGTTAAAAGCTGAGATCAGAAAAACAGAAGACATGCTTTCAGAAGAACTAGACTCAAAGAAGGATTACAAGGTAATGTTTTTACCACATGAAAATGTGCATACAGTTTGTATACAACGGGAAATACACGTTTAGAAAATAATAAATCATTTTGAATCATTCTCAGGATGGGTGTGATACTGTTCAGATGGATGGATCATCTATAGACAGTTATCCTACTTCAAGCTGCTATGCTGACAGAATTTATAGTCTGACATCACAGGAACAGTCGGAGGAGGTATCTGAAGATAATTACCACTGTAACTGAGGCTCTTCTTAAGTTCCTTTTTCGAATACTTTACTGATATTTGCTTACAACTTACTTCTTCGATGGTTATATTTAAGGTGAATTTAAGCTGTTGCTGACATATTATCAATTTTTTATAAAAAAAAATATCAATTTTTTTAAATAATTGAGAATAATTCATAAATACATGTCACTCTTTGATTGGATGAAAATCTCTGATGGGATGGTGCTAAATGATTGACAGGCAAAAAGTTCCTCGATTGTCCTTTAATTAGCTAAATGCCTCTTTTATTCTATCCATATTTTTGTGAGTAATCTCTGCACAGTAATTTCAGTAATGTATATCAGTAAGTAAGGTGATTTTATGTATAGCATTAAATAAAAGTCCATGTTTTGGTAAGGGATTAAGGCGGGGTTTTTTTTTTAATTGCTGTAATGAAAAAATGCTGAGAAACATACAGTGACTTTCACTTTCATGGAAATGGGCTTCTTATCAAAACCATGTACTGCCCTAGGAAGGTTCACTGGAGTTTGTAGAGGTGGATCCAGAAAATTCAAACACTCTTGAAGATGCTCATCTAACTCCTAGTGCAGAAGCTCAGCAGCAGAGCAGCAGAGCTGAGGGTAAGGTTTGTGTTCTAACTGTCATTTTCTTGCATTTGTATCTTTATGATATTTAAATTATGATATCATATATGCTCTTTCTTCCAGCTGCTCTTCCTGCAAAGTTTGTTGATCTTTCCTTCTGTCCTGAACTGGGAAACAAGCGGCTCATTTTTTGTCCAGAGAAACGCAGTTTGGCAACACGCCTGGGGCACCAAGGAAGAACTACGCATGGTCGTTTCGATGCCTGTCAGTGGATGGCGAATCAGGAATTAGGAGGAGGATGCTTTTATTGGGATGTGGACACAACACACTGCACTGGATGGGCTGTTGGGGTGGCATATTCCAGTCTGATGCGTAGGGATAGGTTGGGAAGAACTTCCTCATCTTGGTGTTTGGAGTGGAGCAGCGGGCAACTGGGTGCTTGGCACAATGATTTAAAGACTTCTGTTAAGCATCGTGTTCCTAGTAATGTGCGAGTAATTCTGGACATGGCTAAAGGAAAGCTGTACTTTCAGAGTTTGTGTGATAACCTGCTTGAATTGCACTGTTTTAAGGTCAGTTTTTCTCACCCTGTCAGACCTGTCTTCTGGCTGTATGGGTTAACACAAAACACCTTATCCTTTCCTAAACATTGAATGTTGGATAAAGGATAATAGATTGGAATAGTTTGTAGTAGTTATGCACTCCGTTATTTCAGAATATTTTGTTGAAATCAGAATTATTAGCCCCTCTTTGATTTTTTGATTTTTTTTTTAAATTTGCCAAATTATGTTTATTAAAGCAAGGACATTTTCACAGTATGTCTGATAATATTTTTTTTCTTCTGGAGAAAGTATTTGTTTAATTTGGGCTAGAATAAATGCAGTTTTTTATATTTTAAAAACCATTTTAAGGTCAAAGTTATTAGCCCCTTTAAGCTATTTTTTTGACAGTGTACAGAACAAACCATCATTATACAATAACTTGCCTAATTATTAGCCCCCCTGTTTATTTTTTTCCCCAATTTCTGTTTATCGAAAAGCTTTTTTCAACACATTTCTTAACATAATAATTTTAATAACTAATTTCTAATAACTGATTTATTTTATTTTTTGCCATGATGACAGTAAATGATATTTTACTAGATATTTTTCGAGACGCTTCTATTCAGTTTAAAGTGGCCTTTAAAGGCTAGGTTAACTAGGTTAATTAGGTTAACTAGGCAGGTAAGGGTAATTAGGCAAGTAACTGTATAATGATGGTTTGTTCTGCAGACTATCGAATAAAATCTAGTTTAAAAGGGCTAATAATTTTGACCTTAAAATGTTTTTTAAAAAATTACAAACTACTTTTATTCTTGCTGAAATAAAACAAATAAGACTTTCTCTAAAAGAAGAAATATTATTAGACATACTGTGAAAATTTCCTTGCTCTGTTAAACATAATTTAGGAAATATTTAGGAATTTTAAAAAAATAAAAGGGGGGCTAATAATTTTGACTTCAACTGTAAATGAACTGTTTTAGTTGCTTTTCTGTTTTTAGACGATTTTTTTAAATCACTTTTATATGAATTTTAATTTCTTTGTCTAGCACCATAAAGAGAGGTTTGCTTTTCTGTGTATGTGAAATTTGTGTGATAATAGAATAAAGTTTATAATAAAACCAGGATCTTTTAAAGAGTGATCGATCCTTAACATAATCACCCAAAATAACGTTTATAAGATAAGGAACATATTTGTAAATATTATAAGCAATGAAAGCTTCTACATTCATCCAAAAAGGTTGAGAATATTGGCAGGACCAAAATAAACATGAAATAGTTTCATTAAAGCATTCACAAAACAGCATTTTAACTCAATATCAATTTTAGATTTTTGTAGAAATGTTTTTGTAGGGTAAATTAATAAAAATTATAGTTCTTTAGCCTTATTTGTAATGGAAAATTGCATTACATAAAATTAGTAAATTCCTGTTATGTAATAGGTATCTTGCCATAAAGTCTAAATTTAAATAATGTCCCTTAAATATCAGCTCATCGCTAAACAAATTGTAAATAAAATTTTATTCATTTTTGTACAAGATATTGCTATTATTTCAAATAAAAAAAACTATGCGGGCAGAACTTCGTGGAGATTCTCAATTTTATAATTACAAATTAAAAAAATTCTAAAGCACCTATATGAGAGAAAAACCCATTGAGAGAAATCGGTATTTAGGGTATTAAAATTTAGACCACTTTTCAACTTAGCATAAATAATTTTTTAATAGAATCAGTTTTTTTTCAAAGAACTTTTGTCAGCATTCCATCAATTAGTTAGTTTGTGTGTTAAATCAACAAAAATAGACTGGGCTTATAGAAATACCTTCTGCTTTAAGGAGCTCTTCGTAGCCAATGGTACCTTTTGTGTTTTTTCAGTGATTGGAAGAAAATTGATAAATCTTTAATTATTTTATTTTCCAGTTACTGTATGTCACACTCTCTCTCTCTCACGGGAATATTACAAATGAAAAATTCAAAAAAATTACCCACTGGCAATAATTCACATTTGTTTATGTTAAAGTAAAAACCTGAGACTTTAAAAAAGGGTTCAAGTGTTTTTGTGAAGCGCCCTTCAAAAACAAAACAGTATCATCCGCTGACTGCCTTTTTACCACTTCAGTGTTTTCAATAGACATTGAAGGCCGCTTTTCTGGACTGTTTTAAGAAACTTCTCAAGACTCAGCTTTTTACCATTGTTTTTAACTTCGATTGATTATTTTTGTCAATTTAATCATTCAATTTTATTGTTCATATCTTATTGTCTTATTGTGATGTTTTTACTGTTTTTTTATTGTTCTGCTTTCTTACTGTATGCCTTGTAGCGCTTTGGGTCTGAGAAAAGCGCACTATAAATAAAATTTTATATAATAATAATTCATTCATTCATTTTCTCTTCGGCTAAGTCCCTTTGTTAATTTAGGGTCGCCACAGTGGAATGAACCACCAACTTATCCAGCATTTGTTTTAAGCAGCGAATGCCCTTCCAGCTGCAACCCATCACTGGAAAACATCCATACACATACATACAATATGGACAATTAGGCCTAGCCAATTCACCTACAGTATACCACATGTCTTTGACCTTGTGGGGGAGCACCCTGAGAAAACACACACGAACATGGAGAGAACATGCAAACTCCACACAAAAGTGCCAGCCGGGGCTCGAGCCAGTGACCTTCTTGCTGTGAGGCGATTGAGGTACCCACTGCGCCACCGTGCTGCCCTATAACATTAATAATAATAATTATGATTATTAGTATATTCCTTTCATTGAGCTTTCTCTAATATTTATATTTATAAGTTTGGTAGCTCTCGAAAACAGATAAAGGAAGCTTGAGCATCCCTGTCTGACTCCTCATCTCAAAGAAAATCTAGGAGGGATACTGTACAGTATGCTGAACAGTAATAGTATTATATCAATGACAATGTTATCTAAATTACTGGAAGTAAGTCGATAATCAATCCTAGATTGAGAAGATAAAAGTTTGTTTCTTCAAGTAAAGCATTCATGTGTTGAATGAGATTTTCTCCATAGATCAAACAAGGAAAATTTTTTCTAAAAAAGTCATTACATAGTACGGATTAAGGATCCCAGCTTAATGAGGCCATCTATCCAATCTATTATTCAGGACGACATGAAATCACCACCAAAGATTAGAGAAGACTTAAAATATATGGTTAACATGAATCACCCGATCACCTAATTTATCAAAAAGATCATTCATTCATGAATTTTCTTGTCGGCTTCTCCCTTTATTGATCCGGGGTCGCCACAGCGGAATGAACTGCCTACTTATCCAGCAAGTTTTTACGCAGCGGATGCCCTTCCAGCCACAACCCATCTCTGGGAAATCAAAAAGATCAAAAAGTTAAAATTGTAGTTTACATTTAAAATTCCAAGGGCAAGTAAAATGTAGTGTTGAGACATATCACATTCAGATCTTAAGAATTTCCATTTAAATCATTTTTTAAGTATAAACCCCAGCAGAATTAGTAATGCCATGTGATGACCACAGTCCCCACTGCAGCCTCCAAAATTGTACCTGACAAAAGTCTTGTCGTCAATCCCAGTTGTAAAAACAACAATTAATAACTTGACTTCTAATTGGAAAAGTGGCAGAAGGAGGATTTTTTAGATGAATCATCTGTTGAACTGCATCCAAATCATCACAGATACCGCAGCAGACCTGCATGGAACCCTCACGGACCCATGCAAGAATCTTACAGAAATCAGTCAAGTTTGGTGAAGGAAAAATTGGTGTATAGGTTTGGGGTTACATTCAGTATGGGGGCGTGCAAGAGATCTGCAGAGTGGATGGTAACATCAACAGCTTGAGGTATCAAGACATTTGTTCTGCGCATTACGTTACAAACCACAGGAGAGGGCAAATTCTTCAACAGGATAGCGTTCCTTCTCATACTTCAGCTTCCACATCAAGCAAAGAAGGTCAAGGTGCTTCAGGATTGGCCAGCCCAGTCACCAGACATGAACATTATTGAGCATATCTGGGGTAAGATGAAAGCGGAGGCATTAAAGATGAATCCAAAGAATCTTGATGAACTCTGGGAGTCCTGCAAGAAAACTTTCTTTGCCATTCCAAATGACTTTATTAATGAGTTCTCTTGATCATCATGATTCCACTGCCTTCTCTGCAGACTATCTACCATTGCGGAGTCCACAAGAGAGCTGCCTCCATCCTGAAAGACCCCACGCACCCACAACACAGAATATTCACACTCCTTCCCTCAGGGCAGTGATAGGAATGTTAGACGCATGGCTGCCAGACTCAAGAACTCTTCTTTTTCCTCATCAGCTATCAGACTTCTAAATGGATAGCCAGTGAACATAAGCTGTTTCCTTTTTTGCTCAATAGCACATTATATTCTTTGTCCCAGTTTGCACTATTAATGTGTGCAATTACACTCAATCTGTGCCAGCCAATTGCACTAGGCACTTTTTGCATACTAAACACAATTTTAAACAACTATTATACGTTGTTTACATCTGTTTACAATACTCCACATGAGCATATTTTATTTTGGTAAAATAAGTGTAATCTAGGGGCCTTTGCCTTTTTATAAGCCATTTCTGATACCAAATGATCAACTAAGTCAAGTTGTTATTTTTTGTTCCTAAAATTAGGCAAAAATAGGCGACAAGAATAGGCGACAAGACTTATGTCAGGAAGTGTACATCTTAAGTGACAGAATGGCATTCTTGTAGAAAACAAAAATCTGCATTAAAGCTCTTCAAGTACAAGAAAATAGTTTTCCTCTTAGTAATGTTGCATAACCCTCTTCAATTAAGAGAAACAAAAGATAAAGACATAGAACAAGAGTCATTCATTCATTCATTTTCCTTCAGCTTAGTCTCAAATACAGAGGTTGCCACAGCGGTTGCAGCATGTTTTACGCAGCGGATGCCCTTCCAGCCACAACACAGCATTGGGAAACCAAGAACAAGAGTCAACATGAAACAAATAAAAAATAAAATTAATAACCCAGAAGATTCCTATATAAAGACATAGTAAATCTTAGGCATATGCAGCAAATGTATCCCAATATGAGAAGAGCAATCCCTTTTTAACATATATATTGATTTCACTGTAAATTTGTAAAACAGAAAAAAATACCAGTCTCGGTCTCTTTCACCTCTTTAACCAGCTCTAAAACCAAGCCTACTGTAGCCTTTCTTTATCATTCTAAAGAGAGAAAATATGTATTGTTGTTTCAGTTTTGTTACAGTATTTTGTAAAATTATTAAATAAAACTACTAATAATGTTGGCTTAAACAATCTGCGAGTTTTGGGTGCACCTTGATGAACTGACTTTCAACTGTCGAAAACTGTGTTTTCCTATGGTTTTCCTCCGTAGTTTGTCCCTCTGTGAAACCCGTAGACATGTTGGAGGTCAGAGGGAGGTGTGTGTGTTACATCAAACCAGATAACGACAGCCGCTATATCTCCATCACATTGAGAAATCATATAAAGCTTTATTTTTAAAATATATTTATATATATTTTAAGTCAGGGTCTAGTCGTTTTGTTTGTTTATTATAAAAATGTTATTTAATGTAGTTAGTTGTGCATTGCTGTGAACGTCTATACATTTTTGAAAATTATTATTTGGTAAATGTGATCTGTCTTCAGAAGTGGAAAACATGCGAAAGGACGTGAGGATTTTGCTGGTTGGAGAACGTAAGTCTTTTGTTATTAACGGAATCCTTGTTTTTATGTAACAAAATGACCATTGACTAAAATAGTTGAGCCTTATATTAATCAACGTCTTTTTCTACTGTTTATCGATTAAATTGTTGCATTGTCCACACCACGTTAAATGATTACAACTGTCACTGCATTGTGATCTTTGTCCTGTTCTTTATTCTTGAAACGACAGCACATTGCATCCCGACTGAAAACAATTGGTTAGTTTTATACAATATGGTGAATGTATGTTATGCCTAACTTTAATTGTAAACCGGATTTACAGAATTAAGTGTTTAGTTATCGTGGGCCAATAAATATCAGCTTGATTGAATATGGAGACATTGAATAAAATCAGTTGCAGTACATTAAGAAATTTTTAAATGTTGTATTAACCGTTCATTCATTCATTTATTGGTTGATAAATAGTGCTAAAACACCAAAACAACACATCGTAGATCTGAATGAAATATTCTTTTTTTAAATGCTTTGTTCTTTAGTTAAATGTGCCCGCAACAAAATTTACACAAAAATGATTAATGGAAATCAAATTTATTAACCCATGGAGGTCTGGATTTGGAGTCACACTCATAGTTAAAGGAGAAAAACAGTATATACTGATCCAACTTTGATATAATCTCCTTAAAACAAGTCAAAATGAGGCTCATTAGTATGTGTGTGCCACGCCTATTACTGACCCACTGCCAGACCGGTCATGCTAGAGGATGTTGCAGGAAGCAGAACGCTATCCACAATGTCTCCAGACTGTCACATGTGCTCAGTGTGAGCCTTCTTTCATCTGTGAAGAGCACAGGGCACCAGTGGCGAATTTGCCAATCTTGGTGTTCTTTGGCAAATGGCAAACATCTTACATGGAGTGGGGCTGCGAAGCACAATCCTCACCTGTGGACGTCAGGCTCTCAGACCACCCTCATGGAGTCTGTGACTGTTTGAGCAGACATGTACATTTGTGGCCTGCTGGATATCATTTTGCTGGTCTCTGGCAGTCATTTTGCTTAGTTGTTGCCACCTTATGCCCTCCTCATCTCTTGATGTACTGGCCTATCTCCTGGTAGCGCCTCTATGCTCTGGGCACTACTCTGATAGACAAAGCAAACCTTCCTGCCAAAGCTCTCATTGATGTGCCATCCTGGAGGAGCTGCACTACCTGAGCCACTTGTGTGGGTTGTTTCATGCTACCGCTAGAATGAAAGCACCACCAGCATTCAAAAGTGCCCAAACATCAGCCAGAAAGCATAGGAACTAAGGAGTGATCTGTGGTCACCACCCACCTTATTGGGGGTGTCTTGCCTATAATTTCAGGCTGTTGTCTATTCTATTTGCACAATAGCATGTGAAATTGATTATCCATTCGTGTTGCTTCCTAAGTGGGCAGTTTGATTTCAAAGAAGTTGGATTGACTTGGAGTTCCATTGTGTTGCTTAAGTGTTTCCTTTGTTTTTTGTGCAGTGTATTTTAGTAAACTAGTGTAGAAGTTAATGGGCAACCAGCATTCCACACAATATATATATGTTTTTTTGGAAAACCACACAAGGTCATTTTTATTTTTGAATAAACAATCCCTTTTAAGGATTTCAGGGTTGATCAGGAGGTAACTTTAATCTCCTTTTTCCCATGTGAGACATGAGGCTGACATAAGGAAACATGAAATGCTTCTTTGCGAGAACATCAATAACTTTTTTACTGTGTGTGTTTGTGTGTGGACAGCTAAAGTTGGGAAAACATCCCTGATCATGTCACTTGTCAGTGAGGAGTTCCCAGCTGTGGTATGTATTATTATTATTATTATTATTATTAGAGCATCTGTAATAGTTCTATTATTTGCAATGGTGTCAGTTTGCTGTCAGTATGGATGTTTTTGTCACCATAGGTTCCTTATAGAGCTGAGGAGATCACTATACCAGCAGATGTCACACCAGAGAGAGTCCCCACTCATATAGTGGACTATTCAGGTATTTCAACAGCAGTTTGATTAAAGTGGTCCTCTAATACATTTAAATGGCTTTGGGGGGTTGTGAAGTGGTGATTTTTAGGCATCATAAATAAAAAATTGTTCTAAAATTTAGGGTTCTTTAGCTTGTATCAATAGCAGAACCCGCTTTGATAGTAAATCGAACCCTTTTCATAAGGTTCCATACAGAACCATGCTTTGAGTGTGCTATAGTTAACAATAATAATACCATATTTTCATATAAAATCATAAATATATTAGCATCCGTTCATCTTTATTTGATTCTTTATTTCTATTGGGTTTTTACAATGAAGTTTTAGTAAATTGAGACTGTTTCAGTCCAGTTTTTACATATGAAGTTCTGTTTAGTTCAGTTCAGTGTAATGTAAATGTCACTGCTGAAAAAAATAAAATGAAACAAAAATTAAATTAAACATCGTCTCATGTGTGGCCTTCTGTTGAAGAGGTCTGAGCGATTGGATTTATATCAATCTCAAATGCATTTCAGAGGGAATAACTGTGCTTTTTATTATCAGATTGCCATGCAAATTAATTTACCAGGTGTAAACAGCTCCTTTGGGTCAAACAGCAATTCACAATGCAGCGAAAGTTTGATAGGGAGATATATATTTCTTATTAACATTTTGTGTAAATTACAAATATATATATATATATATATATTATTATATATATATATATATATATATATATATATATATATATATATATATATATATATATTATTTTTTTTGTCTGTGCAAAATTTACTGAATTTACAAATAATGTTTTTAAAATTACTTTATTGAGAGGAGCTTACAATGTGTTTTTAAATGCACACAGAAGCTGAACAAACAGATGAACAGCTGTTTCAAGAAATATCAAAGGTAAGATGTGGATTCACAAATCACAACAGAATATTTTTTTTGTAATTCATCACAGAAATTATATCTTTCTCCTTTTTAGGCCAATGTAATATGCATAGTCTACTCTGTGAACAACCAGAAGTCTATTGAGAAGGTAAGAGAATTTCAAATTGATTTTTTAAAAATAATGAAAGAATAAAAATAGTTACTTGATCCATGACAATATGCAAGTGCAGTATTTTGCTTGTCTTTGTATAGACCATTTTAATGTGGTCATGTCATTGGCCCATGAACATTTCTTGCTTTTTTTAAAACCATTTCATAACTGTAAGTGCAATTCAATCATACCTTAATGTTTAAACAGCCATCATAACATTATTTATCAATATGTGGTTCTTTTTGGGTTCTCAGAAGCTATGGAATTTAGAAATGTAAAACAGGAAATGCATTGCAACCGTTGTTTTAGTTTACATCCCTCAAAATGGTTTATACATGTCACTTGTAAAAAAAACAAATGATTGAAAAAGATTGTCAGAGGTAATCTCTGTATTGGAGCCAGAGCTGCAGTTAGGTTGCCTGTCTTTTTTAAATGCTTGAGTTTTTTTAAAGTGATAAAGGCAGATTGGCATGCAGTTTTGTAAACACTCTGAAAGTTATTCCAATGAAAGTAAACCTTGACACTGAACTGAATGAAAAATACTTTTTTGCTGATCCTTGCTGCACTGTATTAATTGGTTGCACAGAGGAAAAACTACTAAAGTAGTAAAGAATGCCAAAGATGTAACAAATCAAGCAGAAGGGAGCCGATTACATTCAGTTTGTCAAAACAATACACCATTTTCTGCATGCCAAGTCCTTCTGTGATTGATTCACTGTGCTGCCCATGCTGTTGTTTACATCTGAATTTTTCCATAATCTCCATGTGGGTAAATGATCAAATCTGTACGCAAGTGGAAACACTATTGCTATGTGTTTTTTACAGTTTGTTTTTACAGTTTACAGTTTGTTGTTGTGAACAGGTCTTAAAATATATGTCTCTAGCTCTCATATTTTTAAAAACATAATTTCCTTGTCACAGGTCACAAGTCATTGGATTCCCCTGATAAATGAGAGGACAGACAAAGATAGCAGGTTGGCAGCTGGATGTATTTGTGGTTCAGTGTGCGGCATTTGTTCAAAAAATGTTACATGTTCCTTTTAATTACAATGAATTTTAACCATATGCAGTATCATGACCAAATATTTTCAATAGGAAAAACTTGTTGATTGTGCTTAAATTGTTAGTTCTTTTCATACTAAAAATGGACTATGCTTGCTTACCTTTAACTCCTTGATTTTATGTTTGTTTAAGGGTTCCTCTTATTCTTGTGGGGAATAAATCTGACCTAGTTGAGCACAGCAGTATGGAAACTGTCCTCCCCATCATGAACAAATACACAGAGATAGAGACATGTGTAGAGGTATGTTAAGCCATGCATAGTCACATCTTATTGGGAACATGTTTATGTGAAAACCCAGCAATGGTTAATGTACTTTCAGTGCTGGGTTGTGGCATCCACCACATAAAGCATATGCCAGAGTAATTGGCAACTCATTCTGCTGTGGCAACCTGAAGCCGAAGGAAAGTGAGTGAGTGAATAGCTACATGTCTTCTCACCTCTCCTTTAACCATTATATACAGTGCTCTCAGAAAGTACTCACAGCGCTTTACTTTATTGGAAATTGGAATAAATTAATTATTTTCCTCAAATTCTACAAAGAATACCCCATAATTATAATGTTGAGAGAAAAAATTACATATACATAAGTATTTGTAGCCTTTGCCATGAGAGGCAAGGCTCTTCAAAGTTGAGCTGAGGTGAATCCTGTTTCCAGTGGTTATCTTTGATTTTTTTTACAACTTGAGTCCACCTGTGATAAATTCAGTTAATTGAACATGATTTAAAAAAAAACAACACAGCATTCTATATAAGGTCCCACAGTTAACGGTGCACAATTTCACAGCGTAAACCTAGACATTAAGTCCAAAGAAAAGTGTATTTTCACGACGTCATCATAATAGAGAGCAGACTGTAAACACTACCACTGAAAATGATCTATTGTTGTGTTTTGCTCTGTACTGTACTGATCAGTTGGACTAGGAACAATTTTTTGGGGTATCAAAGACTGACTAAATATATAAAAAATCAAGTAAAATGAAGCCTATTAAATTTAATTTGTCAATATATTTCACCTATTGGGCGATGCAGTGGTGCAGTAGATAGTGCTGTTGCCTCACAGCAAGAAGGTTGCTGGGTCGCTGGTTTGAGCCTCTGTGTTTCTGTGTGGAGTTTGCATGTTCTTCCTGCATTTGAGTAGGTTTTCTCCGAGTGCTCCGGTTTCCCCCATAGTCCAAAGACGCGCGGTACTGGTGAATTGGGTAGGCTAAATTGTCCGTAGTGTATGAGCATGTGTGTGTGAATGAGTGTGTGTGAATGGATGTTTCCCAGAGATGGGTTGCGGCTGGAAGGGCATCCGCTGCGTAAAAAATGTGCTGGATAAGTCGGCGGTTTATTCCACTGTGGCGATCCCGGATTAATAATGGGACTAAGCCGACAAAAAAATGAATTAATGAATGAATTTTACCTTTTCTTAAACCTATTATTTGGACAGCATTAATAAGAAAAACACATCATTCAATAGTAGATTACCATGCAATGCAGAGCTGGTGTTTACATGTAAGTAGCTGTGGATGGCTGGGTAACTATAAAAACACTCAAATGCTGTAGACCTCTTAAGAAACGATTGTATTAAGGTACAGATCTGGGAAAGGTACAGAAGACTTTTTGAAGCATTGAAAGTCTCAGTGAGGAAAGGGACCCTCATCATCCATAAATGGAAGTAGTTTGGAGCCTATTCATAGCTATTAATTGAGCTGACATGCTAGCCAAACTGATTGATTGATGAAAGATGGCTAAGCTCAGGGAGGTGACTGTGATGGACCCAGTTGTCATTCTGATGCTCCAGCGTTTCTCTTGGAAGAAAGGAAAAACTACCTGGAGTATGACAATTGGCATCTGAAGGGCTCTCAGACCATGAGAAACAAACTTCTCTTGTCTGATGAATAAGGATTGGACTCTTTGTCTGAAGGAAACCAGGGGCTGATATTTATCTGTGGAAAGAACTGGGAAACTGTTCAGAATCAAGGAAAACATAAATGCAGCAATGTGTAGAGACATCCTTGATAAAAACTGATCCAAAGCATTCTAGACCTCAGACTCGGCCGATGATTCATCTTTCAACAGGACAACAAACCTAAGCACACAGTTAAGATAACAAGGAGTGACTACTGAAAATTTTTAAATGTCTTTAGTGGCCCAGCCAGAGTCCAGATTGAACCTGTTTGAACATCTCTAAAGAGATTTGAAAATGCACTACATTTCTGATTAAATCAATCATTCACAAAGCCTGCTCCCAACAATTTATAGGTACAGTACATCCAAAAGTATTCATAGCGCTTAACTTTTTTCCACATTTGGTTATGTTGCTGCCTTATTGCAAAATGGATTAAATTCATTTATTTCCTTAAAATTCTACACACAATACCCCATTATGACTATAAAAAAAGAAAAAATCACATGTACGTAAGTATTCACAGCCTTTGGTCATTACTTTGCTTTGGGTCATTGTCTTACTGAAGGATGAACCATCGCCCCAGTCTGTGTTCAAGAGCACTCTGAAGCAGGTTTTCATTCGGGGTGTCTCTGTACATTGCTGCATTCATCTTTCCCTCTATTCTGACTAGTCTTCCAGTTCATGCTGCTGAAAAACATAGGGATGGTATTAGCTTAGTGATGAGCGGTGCCTGTTTTTCTCCAAACATAACGCCTGGCGTTCACTCCAAAGATTCAATTTTAGTCTCATCAGGCCAGAGAATTTTGTTTCTTATCCTTCAGATGTCTTTTTCCAAATGGGGAGTGGCTTCCGTCTAGCCACTCTTCCATTCCAGCCTGATTGGTGGATTGCTGCACAGATGGTTGTCCTTCTGTAAGTTCTCTCTCCACAGAAGAACCCTAGAGCTCAGACAGAGTGACTATCGGGCTATTGATCACCTAACTGACTAAGGCCCTTCTCCGCCAGTCACTCAGCTTAGGTGGCCGGCCAGCTCTAGGAAGAGTCCTGGTGATTCTAAACATCTTCCACTTATGGATGATGGAGGCCACTGTGCTCATTGGAACTTTCAGAGCAGCAGAAATATTTCTGCGTCCTTCCCCAGCCTTGTACCTCAAGACAATCCTGTCTGAGGTCTAGATACAATTCCTTTGTCTTCACGCTTGGTTTGTGCTTTGACATGCACTGTCAACCCTGGCACTTAATATAGACAGGTGTATGTCTTTTCAAATCATGTCTAATCAACCGAATTTACCACAGGTGAACTCCAATTAAGATGCTGAAACATCTCAAGAATGATCAGTGGAAACCGAATGTACCTGAGCTCAATTCAGAGCTTCACAGCAAAGGTGCATAAGTGTTTATAAGTGAATACTTATGTACATTTAATTTTTCAGGTTTTTTATTTTTAATAAATTTGCAACAGTTAAAAAAAAAAGGTAATGTGTGTAGAATTTTAAGGAAATAAATTCATTTAATCCATTTTTGAATAAAGCTGTAACATAAAAAAATGTGGAAAGGTGAAACGCTATGAATACTTTCATAGGCACTGTATTTTGTAAGTGTTAACCTCTATCACCTCCAACACCAAAGTGGAGTCTGAACAGCTAGTTTAATTCTGAGACATACTAGAAAATAATGTTTGTTGTCAATTACATAAATATCTGAAGTCTCATTTATAAATATGGTGTATGCAAAAATGTGTGTACAGCGCTTCCTACAAAAAAGTTGTGAAAAAAAAACTTGGTGAGCGCAGATGTATTAAACTCTAAATAAACATATTTCACTTAAATATCAACTTAATTTAACCACTTTAAATAAGCCATAATGATTAACAAACAAATTTAAATTTATTCATATTATTACATTTATTTGTTCATATATTTCTTGGATGGTGTCTACACAAGTTTCAGAAATCAGACCCCTGGTCAATGTGAATATATAAACAGAGGAAGATATTAATTTATTACTAATAACATTTATGTTCACCTCTTTGTTTAACAAATATGAAACAAACAAGTATCTTGCCTTCCTAGAATATACTTGATAAATATTGTGCTTAACAACCACACAAAAACTCTAATAAATGAAACTAATGTTCTGTCCTGTTAACTGGAATGATGTTTGTCCTGATTGTCATTTGCAAGGCATTTAATCTTATTTGGAAATTTAAAATACTCCGATTTGAATCGCCTGTGTAAATCATTTGACTGTATAAAATTATAATTCAGTAATAATCATTTTCTTTTTGCTAATGCATTTAATATTAAATTATGTTCAATATTATATTTTGGATAATAGGATTTAAAATGTTTAAAATCTTTTTTTAATAGTGTTCAGCCAAGAATCTGAAGAACATTTCAGAGTTGTTTTACTATGCACAGAAGGCCGTCCTTCACCCTACAGGACCACTCTACTGCCCAGAGAAAAAAGAGGTCTCTTATTTCTGTTTATATATGAGAACATTTTATTAATCAATAATGCATGGGATACTTGTGTGTGGGTGTTTCCCAGCACTGGGAGATGCACTGTCATAGCTGGGATGCAGAAAGGACATCAGCTGGTAAAGCATACTGTATGGGAGAGTGATTGGTGATCTATTTTGTTATGGTGACCCCTGATGAACAAGGGAATAAACCAAAGAAAATTTTTCCCCTCCGCAGATGAGAACAGCCTGTGTTCTAGCGCTTACTCGAATCTTTAAGGTGTCAGATTCTGACAATGATGGAGTCCTAAACGATAATGAGCTGACCTTTTTTCAGGTGAGATAACTGCTGTATAGAATATATTCATTTTTTATTTAATGCACACAGTAGTATTTGTGTGTAATCCCCTTTAATTACAGGGTTATTGCATTATGTTCTAGCTAATTGTTTTCTTCTAACTTTTTTTTTTTTCTAACAGCTTAAGTTATTTAGACCCTTCTCTGCTCAAGAGTAACATTGTAATTAAATTGTTTACTGGTGTGAAAGAGTTTAACTGGCCTGTACGTTAAAATGGCAAACTTGGGTTTCTACTTGAGTAATCACTACTTGATGACCTCCTAAAACCCCAAATCAGAAAAAGTTGGGACAGTAAGTAAAACGCAAATAAAAGAAAGAAAGAAGTGATTTTTAAATTTATCTTGACTTGTATTTCAATACAATACAACAGCACATTATTTAATGCTTTCTTCATAAAAAAAACAAAAAAAACACACACATACACATATTCTAATTTAGGTTCTTGTAACACATTTCAAAAATAGTTGGAATAGTAAAGCATTTACCAATTTGTAATGTTGCCATTCCTTTTCACAACACTTAGGCGTTTAAGAACTAAATACACCAATGAACAATGAAGTGTTTCAGGTGTAATTTTGTCCCATTCCTTCTGCAAACAAGTCATTAGGTGGACAACCCGTGGGGTCTTTGTTGTCACATGTTGCACTTCAAAATGCGCTACACATTTTTTATTGGAGACAGGTCGGTGCTGCAGAAAAACCAGTCAAGTACCTGTATTCTTTTCCTCTGCCAGGACTTTGTAATGTGTGCAGAATGGGCGTCCATGGAAAAGAAGGCAGCATATTATGCTCCAAAATCTGTATGAACTTTTCAGCATTAATGGTGCCATCTCAGAAGAGCAAGTCATATTTGCCAAGCACACTGACACAACCCTATACCAAGACAGACCCTGGCTTTTGGACTTGTTGCTGGTAACAGTCTAAATGATCCTTTTCTTCTTTGAATCAGACCACACCGCATCCATTTCTCCCCAAAAATACCTGAAATACTGATTCATCTGATCACAGTACACATTTCCACTGTGTGATGTCCATCTCAGATGCTTCCGACCCCAGAGAAGTCGACGGCGCTTCTGGACACTGTAAACATAGAGCTTCCTTTCCTTTTTGTTTAAAATCATAATTAAAATCACCTGTTGACATTGCCTGTTTCAAATTACAGCAATCTTGAACTAGTTTACCTGATTACTTTAAATTACTTAAGTCCCAACTTTTTTTGGAATGTGTCGCAGGTCTGAATGACTGGAAGTTGACCAGACATGAACATGAAATATTTTATTTTCATATTGTCTGCAATGAAACCCAAGTCAAAGTAAATTTAGAAATCACTACTTTCTTTTTTTTATTTGTGTTTTCTGTACTGTCCCAACTTTTTCTGATTTAGGGTTGTATATATTTAATTTGACAATAAATGCCCAACATGGTAGTGTATTTTAGTATGTTATTAAACTATTATTTGTTGATGTTAGCTCAAACCTTGTATATCACAATTTCAAAACCACTGTCAAGCTTTAAAGGTGCAGTATGTAAGATTGACACCCACTGGTTGAACTAGGTGGACTGGTATTACAGTCCAAAGTCAAAAGACTTTTCCACCTGGCCCCTTCTCTTAATGGAAATTCTGGTTGCCAGATTGATGACACCAACAGGAGCGAGTTTGCCTGACTATAGAGTCTGCACTATATCCTAGCTACAAGCGATACACGATAAAATTAATATTTTCCATATTAAAAGTAGGTTTTGTCCTAATCATAACCTGAAGGTTCCATTTTAGTGATGGTTTCAATTTCTCAAAAATGAACAACAGCATAAACATCTATGACAATAATTACCTGGGGTACTGTTTATTTTTTCAGTGCTTAATGCTACAAATGTGAGTTTGAACCCCATTTTACATGATGTGTTGCCATATTAAAAAAAAGGAGCAGCTGATAGTTTACCTCAAATCTTGGAAATAAAATAAACACTAGCTCTAATTTAAACCGCGATTCCAATAAATATCAATTAAATATGTATTATTTAGTATATAAGTCTTACCATTTAGTTAGAGTGCACTATTCTTCTGAATGGCTAGTCTTTAAATGTTTCTCTCATGTTACATCTTGTGCAGAAGGCCAAATAGCTTATCGCTGGATTCTTGTGTGTTGCTTGTTGTTAGGACATGGTGGTAATTTAATGTCGTCAGCTGATGTTTACATATGTAATATTTAAATTTTTTGTAATTTAAAATCTACATCATATAGATTTATATAACTCTGAATCTGCATCTCATTTTGGAGTCTGCTGCTGCCTTCTAGAGGTCGCATTTTCATCCGTGGCCACATACATCTATGCAGCCTTCATGACTGAAATGAAATACAGTGGCAATTCAGGGTGCTAAAATATAATTGGGTAAACTGGCAGTGTGTGGGTTATCGAGACCAAAACAAAGACATACATTCTGACATGTAATGCACAATTTCAAAGGATAATAACTTGACTTTAGCATTGTTTTTCATATAAACAATTATGTTCTTAGCATCTTAGCATGTTTCCTAAGTATCTGCAAACATATTATGGTATTTTTATGCTTTACAAGAGTCAAAAACTTACACCTTTAATCATAACTTTAATGAAGGCATAGGTTCCCTACAAATAAAAATAAAATCACTAAATATTGAAAATAGGTATTGAACATGTCATGATTTTACTTGGTAAATATATTTCTAAAGGTGTTGTTGACATGAAATTGCCCCAGATTTTGCTAAAAATTACACATAAAACAAAACAATGCAAATTCTGAAATGTGGTGTAATAACAATAGAATGGCCTGTTGAGGACAGCCTCGATCCATCTCTGTGAGAATTTAAGAAACTGAGTCTAGGCCTGAGTGGAACTCACATTTCTCAGGCATGAAATAGAAATGGTTATTTAAAAGTCTTTAAAGGACCTTACTGACATACCTCTCATGTTCCTACACGGTGTCAGAAAAGATAAGTTTGTCTAGATATACATAAGTAGGGGCTGAGGAACTCTTGAGTTAGGCAGGTGAGATGACAAGACGGACCACAACTTGAAATAGAACTAAAGGACCAGTCAGAGTGTTCCCTGTATCATTTTGTTTTATTACGTATAATTTATTTTCTAGTTGCTAGTTAGTTTTGTTTTGTTTGTGTGCATGGATTACTTTTAAATCAAAAGCACCTTTAGAAATCGGTTTTCTTAGAAAAATGATGATGTATAATTGACACACCTCTTCAGAAATCATTTAAGTTTTAATTATTTAATCATTTACATACACCACTTGATTGGAAATCTTTTTTTAAAGTGACGGAAATTTCAGGTTTCAATAAAAGATACATTATATTAAAAAAACAAAATTCAGATAGATATGTATGTCATTGCCTGGTTCTTGTTTTTAGAAGACATGTTTCAACACACCATTAGCCCCACAGGCTCTGGAAGATGTAAAAAATGTTGTAAGAAAAAACATTTCAGATGGAGTGCATGACAACGGACTCACACTAAAAGGTAAGGCTGCATTTGTAAAGCTTCTAAAGAAATCTGCAGAAAGTAATATGTATGGCTTGAGATTTAAATTGGTTAAATAGTTTGTTTTGTTTGTCACAGGTTTCCTCTTCCTGCACACTCTCTTCATTCAGAGAGGAAGGCATGAGACCACATGGGCAGTGCTGCGGCGTTTTGGATATGATGATGATCTTGAACTGCATCAGGATTACCTGTTTCCCCCGTAAGAATAGCCCCTTTCAATCAGTCATTCTTCAATTATTAGTGTTCTATAGTAATGTGTTGAAGCACTGTTTTCACCTTAAGAGGTAAGCATAGGTTTAGCTTGACATTTGAGCTAGGAGGGGCAAGGCACACAACAAAGGTGAAATAAAAATAAGAATGCATCAAACATTTAATTTAATTTGAGTTATACTTTGTATTTTTGGTTTGCTTCTTTCTTTTTTTTTGGTACACCTTAAGTTTCAACTTTTGAGCTTGTTAACCTGTTTTGCAATCCCATTGCCCTGTCAATTACACCATAATCTAATAACCTATTAGGCTGTTCATCATTTTATTTATTTGTGGGGTACCCAAACTTTTTGCTATGAAGGGCCAAATACCAAACTTTTTGGGCCGAAGGTAAATATATCAAGCTGTATAAGAAAGTCATTTATTTCAAAATTAAATTAACGCATTTTATATTTATATACACTTTATAATTAACCTATTACAATAAAAACACAAGAGTTCCATTTATAACACAATGGAGTTTAATGGTGAATACACTAGTCAAGCTGCACCTGCCTTTGCCTTGTTTTGTGTGGTAGAGTTGTGGTGTATCGGTTGAACAACAGGATGTTCATAAAAAAATGATAATAATTTACAACATATAATTGCAACATTTTATCAAAGTTAGTTTTTTGAAGCTTAAAATAAAACAAACAAATGAAAGGTTACATTAAATTAGACATGCCAATGTGTATTAAATGCATACCTGCCAACATTTCTCTCCAAAATACCATTGAGACCCGGGTTAGTAACTGTACTGTGGTGTTAGTAACTGTACTTTTGACCGGGTTTCGGGCAGATCAAATAAGTACTATACCAAAGTTAGCGACCCAGGGCTGAAGACCGAGCCGGAGTAAATTAATGGAAGATTTTCAGGAGAAATAACAAAACAGAAGGGTGGCAGGAGATGGGCCTGAAATATGGGAGACTTCTGGGAAAAACAGGATTGTTGGCAGGTATAATTAAATGTACTAACCCCAACCCTCCCCAAAATTCTCCCTTTCTTCTCTGATGGGGTGACTGGCCAAATTTACCTGCAGGCCCTAGTTTGGGCATCTTTGCTTTTAAAGTGGTAAGACAGTGGTTTTGTGTTATTAACATTTTCATGATAACTATAAGCTTAAAGGAAGAGCAAACTGTAGAATAGATGCATTTAGGCATGTTTCATTCAAATGTAAACATGACTAATGGTAGTGACTGTGCACTTGTCTACCCATCATCAACTGTATTTGACACTTTAAAGTGTCTTCTGAGGAGTTTAGCCTATTTGTAAATGTGCCAACAACATATTTAGAGCCTAATTTTATCTGTAAGCACTTTTGTGAGATACAAAATGTTTTGTATTTTATTTTCTACTTTTCTTGGCAAAGTGCAATTACAGCACACATTTGACAACATATTTCTAATCTGTAAGACAATTGCTAGCTTTAGCCACTTTTGCTGTGTAATTGGCACATTGATGATTAGATAACAATCCACGTGCTACTTCTCGAGGTGAAGTTGGAGCACGGGTAGTTGGAATAGGTCCATCTTTTAATCTAAAATTCTTTGCAAATCCTGCCTTGTTTGTTGTGTCTAAAACAATATGTGTGGGTGGGAATAACCATTTTGCGGTCACTTTTCTACTTTACGCCACATTTTGCCTCATGATCACTTGACTTTAAGATCCTGGTTTAACTTTAGGAAATGTTTTTTTAAAAAGTACTTCACGTGCTTATGCCACTCTATTATGGATGTGTACATACTAAACTTACACACATTCCTGTACAAATAGCTTTCAAAAGTTGTCTAATAGGTGGCTTTTAAGATTAGTTCTGTTGATTTACCTTGTCTGAAGAGACTTCAGTAAGTTTTTTTTTTTTTTTTTGGTATACTGTAGTTTTACATTCCTTATAAATAACCATTTGATGCACACAGTATAGCACACAGAAAATGTATAGCATCAGATTATACATTTTATTAATTGTCCACAGTGTTGTTGTACATTATGTATATGGAGAGTTCAGATGCAAAAACCTCTTTGTGCCATCTTATATGAATATTTTTCTCAACCTGTTTTGTTTATGTTGAGTTATTTCACTTAATAGACCATAAAAAGGGCTTAATCTATACCATAAAAGTGAAATTACTGAACTTACACACAGGAACCTGATAAAAGTGCTCATTTTAGAAGAAAATTTCAGATAGTGTTTAGAGGTTTTTGCATTTGAATGATTCCATGTTTAAGGGGTAGAATGTTTAATATATATATATATATATATATATATATATATATATATATGTATATGTGTATATATATATATATATATATATATATATATATATATATATATATATATATATATATATATATATATCTTAATGTGTTTATACTTTTTCCTCAGAGTAAGTAAATCGCTTTAACCCACAACCTTCTTAATCTGCATTGTGTATATATACAAGAGATTTCAGAAATGCAACTGAACCATCTAATCCACTAATCTTGCAGTTATTGATATCGGACTCTTTGTTTTATGTGCAGGTTAAAAATACCCCCAGACTCCACCACAGAGCTCAATCACGATGCTTATCTGTTTCTCCAGAGTGTCTTTGACAAACATGATAAGGTAAAAGTGAAGACACCACTGACAAAATGTTGATCATAATCTATTTAGACAAGCATGAAAAGTAAAATGATCAATCTATTTTTTTAATCTTACTATAATATTTCTTAATTAGTCATGTTTGATTACTGAAGACATCAGTTGCTGTTTTCTTACTGAAGCTCATTTGTATCTGTCGTAGGACAGAGATGGTTCTTTGTCTCCTGGAGAGCTTATTGACCTGTTTGATGTTTTCCCTTACGTTCCCTGGGGACTGGATGTGAACAGTACGGTCTGCACTAATGACCAGGGCTGGATCACATACCAAGGCTATCTCTCTCAGTGGACGTGTGTATCAAACATGCCATGTGTCTCAGTTCAAGAATTAGTCATTCTTATTGATCTCATTGTGTGTTTTCTAACAGTTTGCTAAATTGCACACACATATACATTTTTTGAGTGGACTGCTGCTCTTTGTTCATTACTGCTGGGAGGATTTGAAAGGATTCAACCTTTTATCAGTTGTCACTCTTGTGTTTGCAGGTTAACGACTTACCTGGATGTTCAGCGATGTCTGGAGTATCTCGGTTACCTAGGCTACTCTATTATTGCTGAGCAGGAGTCTCAGGCTTCTGCCATAACAGGCAAGCTGAAGCGCATCCATTTTTTTATGCAACTTGCCAGAAAAATGTTAGATTTAATCATTTCACAATAATGGGCTCCCCCCTTGGCTTATTTAAATGTTTTCCACATTTGTTTTTTGAAATTCTATTAAAAAGAGTCAGTAATTACATGGTCCGTTATATTTGGGTTTTTGTAATTGTTAGGTTAAATTGCAGATGCAGATATTAAAAGGCAGCCCGAATGCATGTTTTATATTTCAGATTTAATTGATTATGGTTTATTCATTGTTTTAAAATTCACTGATAACCTTTTGCAGTAAGTTAACCAGATAAAGTGGTCATATGATGGTATTATTAAATAATGGTTTACTAACAAAAGGCCCTATCATACACCTGGCGCAATAAGGTGCAAGATGTGTTTGCTCCGACGTGTTGCTATTTTCACACCAGCACAACAGTAATTTTCTCGTTTTCAACCACGTTTTTTAAAAAACAAATCCATTTGCGCCACTTTGTGGACTCATGGGTGTTCCGGTCTAGAAAAGAGGTATGTCAAGGCACATTGTTGGCAGTATATTGAGAAACTAAAATAGACTGTTCAATAGACCAGCTTAAGGGACTAAAGACCAGCGCAGAGCGTGTTAGTTGTGCGCCTCAGGTTTTAGACTTTATGTGTGTTTGGATATAACTTGGATGTTTTTAAAACTGAATTTAGAAATAGTTTTGTAACTAACCTAATCGCTAATGGATGTCTTCAACGGAGTGCGTACGACACTTTCTTTCTCTCATTCCTGGATAAGGAAAAAGTGAAAGTAAAGGTGAACGTAATTTTATATCCCCGCTGTTTTATACTGTTTTTCTAGCTAGTGAAGCATTCAGGTTTTCAACTTACAAAGTCTGCCATGTAAATAGCAAATGCGCCATGGAACTGGCTCCTAAAGGGAATGGGAAATGAGACTCTGATTGGTTTATTCTCAAAACATAACTCATTAAAAGAATAAGCTCAACCCTGTTAGACCATGCGCCACAGTGCGAACCATATTTTCCCATCCTTAAAATAGCAAAACTGGATTCTGACACGCCCTTAATGCTTTTGCACCATGCACTTTGGACTTTGTGCCTAGATTGTTAAAATAGAGCCCAATGTGTTATGGTTTTTACACATGTTTAATTGTGTTATTTAATAGCATTCATCAAAGGTGCTGTATGTAAGTTTTTGATTGTTCTAAAGCATAAAAATACCATAATTTGTTTGCAGATATTAAAGAAACATACTAAGTGAATATACTTGTTTATATGAAAAACAATGTTAAAGTCAGTTTTTCTCCTTTGAAAATGTCAGTTACATGTCGGAACGGCTGTCTTCATTTTGGTTCTTTTGATTCGTTCACTGCCACTTTAATATATTTCAACACAGCTGATGGCTTTCATGGAAAACAGCGTATTTGATTCATTTAGTCAGGAAAACTCTAAAAGCATGTGCCAGTGACCGAAAATGCAACCTTATTAATTAGCAAATAATTTTAATATTAATATTTAACAATAATATTACAAATGTAAACATTAAGGGAGCAGGTTACATTGTAGCCCCGTCTCGTAAACACGCAAGACAAGATTTGCAGTGACAAGCAATTTGGCTGTTTGCAGCAGATGAAACACAACAGAAATTTAAATACAGCCACTCAGAAGCGCAGATTACTACACTGCACTCAAGCGACATGGTAGCATTTACAATCTAATTAAAACATCGGGATCTGAGGTGAACTATCTGCTGCTGCTTTCAACGCAAAATGGCATTCAAACTCGAATTGTTAGCATTTAACACTGAATAATGCACATGAGGTGTACCTGAGGTGATCATAGTTCATCCTGTTGTTCACCTGTGAGAAATAGAAGCCATTTCTAAAGTAGAAGTTTCATGTGTTGGATAGGACAAAAAACTCCTTTTAGTAAGGAAAATATTTCCTCTTATCGTGTGTTGTTGCTTTTAGTTAGAAAACGGTTTAAATCAGCCTTGACAGTCAGGCACACTCGCATCAATCTGGCAACCTGCACTTTCGTGGACTGGTCAGAGGAGGACCAGTGTTTTGATGTGTTTTGATCCAGAAGTGCAATACCAAGTTCAAACACTCAGTGTCAAACTTACAAACAGCACCTTTAACTACAAGTAGTTTTTATGCTAGCTATTTTAGTTCTGTTGACAAATGGAACCTTGCTGTAAAGTGTTACTAATTCCTAATGTAACCTAAATGTGTTTGCACATGATAGTGACCCGTGATAAGAAGCTTGACCTACAGAAGAAACAGACACAACGGAATGTTTTTCGCTGTCATGTGTTTGGAATAACTGGAAGTGGCAAAACTGGCTTCCTGCAGGGCTTCCTTGGCAGAAATCTTGTGGTCAGTTAACAAGAAAAAAACACCTAACTACACACTTAACACAAAGCCACAAACCAAAAAAACAGCTTAACTTCAAATAAGCACCCTATGTGTTAATTGTAACTTTTAAATTAGTCGTTTGTTTAAAATGAAAAGTTTAACTTGTAAAATCGTCACCTTAGAATTATAAGGTTCTATCTGACATTTTTGTCAAAACTGAGTTATTGACATATTCTTATTAAATGACAACTTATTTAAATAATGGGATGTTTTTTTTATAAGTTGTTTACATTTTAAGACTTTTAATTAAAAAAAATTGTTTTACACACATACTGTTTGCTATATGGAATGCAAAAACTTTAAAGCTCAATATCTCAAAATCATTGAGAATGCAGATAGAAACTTATTATTCCAAGGTGACGAAATGTACCTTTTTTATGTTTTACATTATGTATGTAATTGAATTTTGGTTTAAATATATACCACTGCCCTTGTTTAATTTGTGTTCATTCATAGTAAATTAATGTAAAGCTTGAGCCATTCAAAATGTACTAGTATACAGAATTCTGTTTATGAGCTCTTGCGCAGTGATCAATTTTGTCAAAGCCTGCTTATCTCTGCTAGTTCTGATGATATCTATGCAGTCATCATGACTTCTGTTTCTTTAAGCTGTTGCTGTTTGTTTCTCACAGCATCAAAGGGCCATAAGAGAGGAACATAAATCATACTACGCAATCAGCACTGCGCATGTTTACGGACAGGAGAAGTACTTGTTGGTAAATAGTTTTGTGTCTTACAGGATCTTACGCATTACAGATAGTTTGTTTTTTCAGTGTAAGGAACCATTATTTAGTTAAATATTGCAGTTTTTCAAGCATGTGTTTAAGCCACATGAAGAGTTCAGCAAAATCACCACTGTTTGGTAATCGTCATTATTCTTTGTTTCATTGAAAGCAAACCGAATTTTAAAACTTATTGTTTTTCCTTCAGCTCCATAAAGTCTTCCCAGATTTTGATTTCTTGTCTGAGATGGAACTTACATGTGACGTTGCGTGTCTGATCTATGATGTCAGCAACCCCTGTTCTTTTGAGTACTGTGCACAAATCTTTAAGGTTTGCCTAATATTATATTGTTCACAAGACATAGCGTCACTAGACATGCTGTGTTCTACATAAATTGTGATATTTACTTTGTTTTGTTGTAGCATTCTGACATGTATGTTTGCTTTGGTTTATTTACCAGCAATACTTCATGGACAGTAAGACTCCATGTATGTTGATTGCTGCAAAGTCAGACCTGCCAGAGACAAAGCAGCAATACGGTATGACTCCACTTGAGTTCTGCCGCAAGCACAAGATGCCACCGCCTCAGTCTTATACCTGTAACACTGCTGGAGCTCCCAGCAAAGACATCTTCATCAAACTTGCCACCATGGCTGTGTACCCGTAAGTGTGCTTTTATTATTTACAATTCAAGTATTTAAACTCTGTTTTGATAGATTTGAAAGACCACTGTTTAATTTGTCATCTCTCTTTGGGTTATTTCCATGACATTAAAGCTAGCACATGGTTAGTTTGTTCACTCAGGCTAAAAATGATGTCAGAAACCCCTTCTAAAAAGTCAGATGACTGTTTTTTGTTCTTCATTTCAAAATCACACTGTAAAAAAACATAAACAATAACATTTAGGGGAGTCTGTGAAATCCATGTGATATTTTTCTTTCCCTATTTTTGTCCCTGATTGTGTAAGAAAGAGACAAGCATAAGAGAGAGACAAGCATCTATCTATCTATCTATCTATCTATCTATCTATCTATCTATCTATCTATCTATCTATCTATCTATCTATCTATCTATCTATCTATCTATCTATCTATCTATCTATCTATCTATCTATCTATCTATCTATCTATCTATCTATCTATCTATCTATCTATCTATCTATCTATCTATCTATCTACACACACACACACACACACACACACACAGCAGTTATTTACAATGTAATATATATATATATATATATATATATATATATATATATATATATATATATATATATATATATATATATATATATATATTTTTTTTTTTTTTTTTTTTTTACAATTAATTTTTTACATTTACTGAACAGAAAAAAAAAACATGAAAAAATGTCCCCCAAACCTTTGATTGGTAGAGTGTATATATACAAGATGTGCTTCAACTACAGCTTTAATTTGAGGGTATTTACATCCAAATCAGGTGAACGCTGTAGGAGTTACAACAGGTTGCATATGTCCCTCTCACTTGTTAAGGGTCCGAAAGCAATTGGACAATTGGCTTTTAAGCTGTTCCATGGCCAGGTGTGTGTTATACCCTTATTATCCCATTTACAATAAGCAAATGAAAGGTCCAGAGTTCATTTCAAGTACGCTATTTGCATTTGAAATCTGTTACTGTCAACTCTCAAGATGAGACCCAAAGAGCTTTCACTATCAGTCAAGCAAGCCGTCATCAGGCTGAAAAAAAACAAAACAAACTCATCAGAGCGATAGCAAAAACATTGGATGGGGCCAAAACAACAGTTTGGGACATTCTTAAAAACAGCAAAAGACCCGGAAGACCACAGAAACAACTGTGGTGGACGACTGAAGAATTCTTCCCTTGGTGAAGAAAACCCCCTTTACAGCGGTTGGCCAGATAAAAAAAACACTCTCCAGGAGGTAAATGTATGCATGTCAGAGTCAACAATCAAGAGATAACAACACCAGAGTGAATAGAGACGTTTCAACACAAAATGCAAACCACTGGTGAGCCTCAAAAACAGGAAGGCCAGATTAGAGTTCTAAAAAAGCCTTCATAGGTCTGTAACAAGATCCTAAGGACAGATGAGACCAAGTTCAACTTGTACCAGAGTGATAGGAAGAGAAGAGTATGGAGAAGGAAAGGAACTGCTCATGATCCTAAGCAGTGATGCATGGTGGCAGTAAAGACATGGCGTGGGCATGTATGGCTGGCAATGGAAGTGGTTCTTTTGTATTTATTGGTGATGTGACTGCTGACAAAAGGAGCAGGATGAATTCTGAAGTGTTTCAGGCAATATTTTCTGCTCATATTAAGCCAAATACTTCAGAACTTATTGGACGGTGCTTCAAAGTGCAGATGGATTATGATCCAAAAGCAACCAGAGTTTTTGAAGGGAAAGAAGTGGAATCTTATGCAATGGCCAAGTCAATCACCTGATAATCAGAATCAGATTGAGCATGTATTTTACTTGCTGAAGACAAAACTGAAGAGAAAATGCCCTGAGAACAAGCAGGAAATGAAGACAGTTGATCTAGAGGCCTTGCAGGGCACCATCAGAAGTGAAACCCAGCGTCTGGTGATGTCTATGTGTTCCAGACTTCAGGCTGTAATTAAATCAAGTATTAAAAAGAGAAAGTTTGATTTATGATTACTTTTCTGTCCAATTTCTTTTGGACCCTTAACAAGTGGGAGGCACATTTGCAAACTGTTGCAATTCCTACACCGTTCACCTGATTTTGATGTGAATACCCTCAAATTTAAGCTGACAGTCTGCAGATAAAGCACATCTTTGTTTCATTTCATTTTCATTGTGTTAATATATTGAGCCAAAAATGTGTGTGTGTGTGTGTGTGTGTGTGTGTGTGAGTGTGTGCGTGCGTGCGTGCGTGCGTGCGTGCGTGCGTGCGTGCGTGCATGCGCGCGCGCCTGCGTGCGCGCCTGCGTGTGTGTTTTCGTTTTTTTTTTTTCATACATATATTGTTTCACACCTATTGTTATAGTTGGGTTTATTCCACCGGACTGTAACTGTCAAGTAAGTCAGACATGTCAGTATAATAGAGATATTAAAGAGCTTTGGCATAAAATTACCCGTTCAAAACTGGGGAAAATCTAAATGTAAAGTTTGTGAATCTATCAAGCTATCAAACATGGAAGAGGAAGCACTTCATGGCCACATTAATTAAGTACTTCAGATTTGTTTTTATAATTGGAGGTAAATTTTACCATTGCTGTTCTAATAGTGGCTATTAAAGTCATGCTAAATTATATTCAGCCAAACCATTTTAATATATTTTTATTTTTACAATAATAAATTGTAATTTGATATTTGACTTAAAGTGGGAACCCTGAGAAAAGAAACACATCAGAGGATGCTACATCTGTTATTGATTTGCATTTGCATACATAAATGCATTTGATTCTTTTGCTTATAATGTTTTGGTTGACACTGTTTACTTAAATACACTTTACATAAAATACTTTAATTTTTTGTTTTAAAGAAAAGACTAATTTCTGACATTTGCATGTGTGTTGGCAGCCATGCACGTCTGCGCTGTATGTGTACCTGTAATAGGTGCACCTTCTGTCTGTGCCAGAACTTCCTCAACTCTGAGCTTGTGCAGACGGTTCGGACCAAACTCTACACTGTCATCCTTAGCAGGTTCTATCTTGACCCTACATCTGACATTCGCATGTCTCTTCTTTATTGATCTTTATTCATTCTTTTTCCCCTCTTTATTTACTTGATTGCTGTAATGCTGGTTTGCTTTAGTATTCTTTATTTGCAGCTTTATTAGTTTATTCAATATTCAGTTCTGTTCCAAAAATAGCAGTACAACATCAGTAACCACTGAAATTAGCAACAGTGACATTATTGCAATTGATTTTCCTGCAATTGTTGTGGTGTCAAAGGACAATCAGCACACATGACACAACAGTTGGCTGTGTTGTTTTTCCTAGTAATAAGTTAATGCATCAAAAGAGGTGTGATCTAAATAATAGCTGCATGGAGATTAATGAGAATTAATTCATTCTGTCATAGACAGAAAGTCAGTTTCTGAATTGTGGCATACAGTAAGTTATTGCAAACGTTCAAAATAATAGTATGATCTAATTAAAAAACTGATAAAACCTATAAACACAGTGCAATCGATTATAGGATGCTGATCTAAAATGACCTCAAATGCTTTAAACTAAAAAAAAAATGAAACGAACAGAAGAAAACAAGCAAATTGCAGTTAAAATGGATGTGAAGAGTACAAACAGCAAACATGCAGGAAAACCATACCTCTCAAAGATATTAACTATCATATGAAATTACAGTTACAGTCAAAAATGTTTGAAGCTGAGCTGTTGACAAGGAACCCCTATGAAGTACATACACAGACACACACAAAATAAACTGTACAGAATGAGCTGAAAATGCTACGAAACACATTGATGGGCCAAAGACAAACGTGGACTGATCAGAGTAGATATGTTCTTTACAAATCTACTGGTCATTGACAGTCTCCAGGTACCAAACTCAAGCCTCATCTGTGAGGCATAGAATCTCTTAATATTTTGATTTAGAATTGAATGTGTGATGATCCACTTTGTTTGAAACAGGGGAATAAAAGGTATTTCACAGCTTTTTGTAAGGCACTACTATGTTTTTTGGACCAAACATGGAATAAAAACTTCCCTAAAGTATTACCTTACATATCCTCTCAGGAAACACCCCAAAGGAAAAAGTCCCTGTGCTATTTAAGTAGATGAGTAAAATCCTTTGTTGAAATTAAAAATCTGAGGACTTTCACGCCGGGGGAGCCCAGCTACTCATGCATCACACAAACATGCAAGCATGCATAGACACTTGCGTTGTTGTTTTTTTTGGACATGATAATTATTATATATTTTAGCCTTAGAAGAGCCATGGGTTAAAATGAACCTATATGGCAGATTTTCAATATCCAAGTCTCTGACAAAACTCCCTATTGTTAAAAAAAAGTGTTTGGATAAAAGCAGATTGGAGATGGCATTTATGGATTCCAAAGCCGCTACAAGTGCACAAGTGATGGTGAGATTGATTGTGGGGAGACAGGGGTCAGCTCAGCATTATACTTGATTGCTTGAAATAATCATTTGATTATTCTAGACAGAAGGGATGTCATTATTTATGTATACATGTACACATGAAAACACAAACTCGGCTCTTGAGGCTGTAGCACAGACTGGGACATGAATGTGAATTTGAGGTTGACTGACTGATCTGGGTTCGATTCTACCAGCTTTGTGTATATATATACACACACTTGTATTGTATTGCGTTCTAACTTGCAGCTTTTGACATGCAGAAATGTAAGTTCCACACGCTTAAAGTTGCAACACATTGAACCAACTTATTACCCATTTCTTGTCTGTTTCCTTTTCTGAAGCCTTTGTTCTCCTTGTGTTATTGCCATTTTTTGCCACTGACATTGTCATCTTCTTTCATCTTGGATTTGCTCTCATAGCATATTTAACAACACTGTTTGTGTATGTACCTACAGTATGTCCTCATTCTTTCCTGTTGTTTGCTTGGTCCATTTCTTCTGTTAATATGCACATATCGTAACTACATGTCAAAGAACTTAGAATAGGTTGCTCTTAATTTGCATGCAAGTCATTTGGAGTCTCTCGGGAGATCTTTAAAATCAAATGTTTGCAGATACTTGGTCTATTAATAATCTAATGACTGGTAGTAAATTTAGTTTCAGTGTCTCTGTGTAAACTCAAAGATGGTGCCATCTCATTGTTCCCTAAACACTTGTACACCATTTACTGTTACATTAATTCAGCTTTTCAACCCTTCTTCATTTGATTTTCTTTTTCAGGCATATTATCCATGCTGAGCTGAAAAACTCTTCACTTTGGCTCAAAGCGAGCGTTGGAGCCACAATTTGTGCTGTGCTTGGCTTTGCCATATACAGAACCCTCCTCAGAAACCGATGAGCACAGTAAAAATGACTTTACTGACATCCTGTCGGCTCATTTGCTGAGTGAACTGGTAGAAATGGGAATATTACATTTGTCAAAAGATGCATTAAGCTGTTATATATCTACTTCATTATTGTAGTGTTTACATTCCCAAGTCTTGAGATTCTATGAGACTGAAAGCTAGCATGCTTTTATGATACAAATATGATCCAAGCAAACTGTAAATATGTAAATGAAAGATATTTATTGTTACCATGCGAGTAAAAACTGTCATATCTAAAGCAAATAAATGCAGCTCTTTGCCCTCACCTTTGTCTTAAATTGTCATACAGCTTGTTAATCTGTGCTCAACCGTTTTTACTTGATTTTTTTTTACATCAAAACCAAGTGTTAGACAGGAAACCATGTAAATGTGAAACTGCAGACACAATGTTCAAGACTTTATTTGCATGATTTACTGTTTTACATAAGATCTGAACAGATCAATGATTTAAACATATCAACTGGATTTTTTTTCATTGTCATTTCCACCTTTTTAATAAACTAGTTCTACACAAATACATTTTGTCAGATGCCAACTATTTACTTAAAGTGTTTGCCACTGTCTATAACAGTGTCAGAACAAGTATAACACTGTCAGAAACAGAACCATCAAATAAATAAAATATATAACGCATACTTCTTAAATGTGAAACAGTATATCTGTTTTGGTTTATCAATTTTGTACAAAAAGGTAAACGATTAAAGCTGCAAGTGGATATTTTGTACCAATGAAATTACAGAAGGCGTGCAGGCATGGAGGTATATTTTAAAAGACGAAAACATGACTTTTCTGTTCAAAAACCAAACACTTTTCAAGAACATCGTCTTGAGGGAATTCTCATTCACGACTTTACTTTTCACTGATTTAATTTACATAAAGGTTTTGGTTGCCGAACAAGGTTGCCCCAGAACTGTTTGCTTCTTCCAGTTTTGCAATATCTGTGTGAGAGCGTGTGGCTTTTCCTTTGGCAGGCCGCACCCCGGCCATCTCCTCATAAACAGGAACTACAGGCTGCAACTTTCTACGTTTAGGGCATTTACACTGTTGGTGAGAGGAAATCAGAAGTGAGGGTTTAACTGAAACGGTAAATATGTAGAGGGAAGTAAACCATATTTGGTCTACAAGACAGTTTCTTTTTAAACCACATACAGTATAACATGACATGATTGTCACTGATGATTTAAACACGTCAAATATTTGAGTATTCCAATTTCTTTTTCTTAAAGCGAGATGTTAATTAATATCTTACATTTCATTTGGCCGAACCAATATAATAATAATATAACATTGTAAATCGCAAGACTGAAAGTTCTCCAAATTAGTTTTAGGCTTTAAAAAAATGCTTTTAAGTAGGTGTGCTGTTTAATTAAATGCAATTTATATTCATTCCTTTCACTCCTGACTTATTGGCCATCAATTAGTGTCCATTTAATAACACTAATGCCCACTAATGAATTATTCAAATGCTAAAAAAAGCTTAACTGCAAGACAGTTTCTTTTAAACCACATGCAGTATACCATGGCACATTAGTCACTGAAGATTTTAACAGGTCAACTATTTCAGTGTTTCAATGTCTTTATTTAAAGTAAAAGAAATGTTCATTAATATCTTGCATATCATTTAGCTGAACCAATATAGTAGCAAGACAGTAAAAGATCTTCAAATGAGAAAACAAACACTCGCTTACAGCAAAGTCTGGATGTTATCTTTTACAATCTCAAGGGGCAGTTACTGAATACTTGTTGAACTATTTCAAAACTTTACACATGGTGCACAACAACAGTGCATGTGTCATGTTACATCAATTATGTTCTCCCTTCACACCAGCAAAGCTCACAAAGCAGTTTTCACATTACAAATACACATTTTTTTTTTAAGTAAAATATGTAATGGAAAAGAGAACACTTCAGTGGTTTTTCTTCTACTTCAGATATTTCATAATTTATATATGAATTTAATGACGTATAACTAGGCCCACAAGGAATCTGCATGCGATTGTTAGCCCATCAATAATTCTGTTTATTTACTTGAGTAATTGTGTGTAAATACTTATTCAGTTTTTAAATTAATTTCAGTAATATTATTGACTAATATGAAAATGTTCATCTGATTTACGTACAATGCAATATGTTCAGTAATATGTCTTTTAGTAGATATACTATATGAGAGACTGCCTTTGTTTACCAAATGAAGTAAATCTAATTGGATTTGCATTTTAAACATTATAAATACAAGTTAAAAAGATATTTTATATTTCACATATTAAGGTTTTACTTATGATACTCCCAAAATAATTCCACAAAAATCTGCAGATTTTTACCAACATTCTCTGCAGAAATAGCAAAAAACGTCCGCAGATTCCGTCTGGCCCAACATATAACCTACGTTTAAGGTCCAGGCAACATTTTCAGGTGCTGATGAATTGGCTACTATATGTTAATACTTTACATTTGCAGGTAGAGTACAGGAGTTGGATTTTTATTTTTTACTGTTTAAGAACAGTAACCTTTCATTTTTAACTTTTAAAGCATATTTTAATTTAAATGTTGTTTGTTTGTATTTATTTTTAAGCACAGTACAGTGGTAATGTTCAAACTACTTATAATGTTTAAAGTGTCTGACACTAATAAATAACAATATTAATCTGCCTTGTTCTTAAACTGTGCAGAGCTGTAGCTGCTTTATCGGGCCTACTGCGCTGCTGTATTTCAATATTGCTCATTATTGTGGTACTTTGAGAGGCAATTCTTTCCAGAGGTGGTACTTGATGAAAAAACTTGAGAACCACTGCTTTAGAGAAAGCATTAGTCATGTAATGTGCTCCAGTAAATTAACAGTTGAGATTTGTTGTTAGCATTCCTAGGTCAACTTTGCTCATGTTGTGGAAGAGTGAACTGAATGAATCCTAGCAATTTTACAAAAGTGAAATAGAAGATATCACTGACTATGATTAAAAGCACTACATTCATGGGTAACTCTTTACAATAATAGTACATGAATAATGATGTGTTGATATGTAAACTAAACATTAGTTTATTATGAATTTATGATGAGTTAATCATGAACTAAAGTTACCTTCAAAATGAGTAACTTGGGTTCATGTGTGAATAACGGCTAGCTTAATTACTTGTTAATGCATGTTGCTGTTTAAACTAAATGTAACCAACATGAACTCATGAGTTGGTAATGTATAGTTATGGCACGACCCTACTTGGAGGGGCACGTCACCATTAACTCATCCTCAACTACTTATGAACTCCTGTTTAAACTGTTCATGCTGATGTTGACAACACTTCCACTGTTACTCAGTGTAAATGAACTAGTTTGAGTTCATGAGTAGTTAAGAATGGGTTAATGATAATGTGTCTCTCCAAGTAGTCACAATATAACTACACATTAAAATATGAGTTCATGATGATTAAATTAAACAAACTAATGTGGTAATTACTACATTAATTAACAGTCATGTACTAAGTAATTAAGGTAGCCATTATTCACACATCAACTCATGTGACTCCTGTTGTAGTTAACATTAGTTCATGATTGGCGCATGCATTACTCATCATTAGTTCATAATAACTAATCATAAATGTTCATAATATTGCCTTACAATCATCCATTATTACATATTTATATTTTTATATATTTTTATTTTCCTCAAGGTTATATCTTTTTTGTGTCACTTAAAAATAGATTAATTGAAATGTCGTTGGAATGAATCCTGGCATTTGTTACAAAAGCGACTAAGAAGATATCACTGACTGATTAAAAGCACTACATTTATGTCTTCTTATCTAGACAACAAGTATGCAGTAACGGCTCATTCAAAACTCCCCTACTAAAATCAAATATAAAATGATATCTAAAGTACTTACACAGTAAGCTGCAGTGATGCTAAAGACCAGAACACCCAGCAGACATGCAGCTCCAGAGATCACATACAGCAATGGCAGATAGTTTGAACAATTATAAGGCTCATGAGCTGCAAAACAGTTACAACCATACAGTAATTGACCATCAATGAATATGTGCATTTTATAATACAAAATACAACCTTTATTTTTTGCATTAACAAATGTTTTGCTAATGATTTTAAGTTTTTTTTTTTTTTTTTTTTTGTAGTAGTTGACATTCGAAGAGGATCAAAACGTCTAAATTGTCATAAGACAAACATGGGTGTCATTTGTTATAGTTTAGGACAACTTTGATGATTAGGGCTATCAATGATTAAGGGCTTGCTTATGTACAGTTATTAGCCCCCCTGTTTATTTTTACCTAATTTTTGTTTAACCGAGAGTAGATTTTTTTTTCAACACATTTCTAAACAAAGTAGTTTTAATACTCATTTCTAATAACTGATTTATTTTATATTTGCCATAACATGTATATGCTTAATTAGGTTAACTAGGCAGGTTAGGGTAAGGCAAGTTATTTTATAATGATGGTTTGTTCTGTAGACTGTCGAAAAAATATAGTTTAAGGGGACTATTAATTTTGACCTTAAAATGTTTTTAAAAATTAAAAACTGCTTTTATTATTGCCAAAATAAAGCAAACAAGACTTTCTCCAAAAGAAAGCATATTATCAGACATACTGTGAAAATGTCCTTGCTCCGTTAAACATCATTTGGAAAATATTTAAATAAAGAAAAACTATTTTAAAGTGGAGGCTAATAATCGTGACTTCAACTGTATTTGTATATTCAGTACAACATTTGCTATTATTAATCACTCTGACCTATGAGATAATGCTTAAAAATATTGGATTGATATAATATCAATCGATTGGAGGTCTGAAGAGTAATTGACAACTTCCACTTTGACTCACTGTTTCACTTATTGCAAGGGTGTCAAACTCAAAAACAGTTGAGTTCCAACCCTGCTTCAACTCACAAGTAGGTTTCAAACAAGCCTAAAGGACACAATTATTTTGATCAGGTGTGTTTAATTAGAGGTGGAAATAAACTCCTGGACACCTGTGGCTTACATTAATGTTACATGAATAGCTAGTTAATAAGATTTATTAAGGTTTGTTACCTAAATATTAGCATCTGATTTAATGTAACTAAAAAAGTGTGTTGTTTGAAAAATTCAGATACTAAGCTAGCTGACTGATAAGACCTTTTGTTATAGTGGCAGATTTATTGCAATATTAAACTATTATGTGGATTTAGAGAGGACATTACAGACTGCATGAACTGCTTGCCTTACAATCATCCATGATTATTATTTCTTTCCTTAAGATTGGTTTTATCTTTTTGTCAATGAAAAACTGATTGGTCAAATTTAAATCTGTAAAGTAAGATCTAACTACCAAGTAATAGCTAGTATAGATCACATTATGTCATAAGCCAGTCTAAACACAGAGGCTATGCAACTGAACACTGGAGTGTTTTCAACTCATTTTTGAAATGATGTCAGTAAAGGTCACCTACAGTTGTCTTCAACATAGATGAAGAACTCCGTCTTGCCAGGTACATTCTTTTCATATGGGAGAACTCCATAGTGGAAAACACAGTGGTATACATCTGTGTCTCGTCTTTGGAGGTTTGAGATTGTCAGATGAATCGCATGATTTTCCAACTCATCGCGTACAGTAATGCGATCCTTTTCATCAGATGTATTGATATATGGTGATCGTCCTTTAGAAAGATACAGAACTTGTCTGGACTGGAGCAATCTTCGTTTCAGCGAAAAGGCAAATGGTTGTTCCTCTTTGTTTGCAGATTCACAAGAAATGTCAACTGAGGAATTTCTTACTTTGTGAATGTAAACGATACCTCCATGTGCTACAAAGAAAGGGCTCACAATTAGTCACATTCTTCAAGATGAATAACATCATTTCATTCAATTGACCTAACATAGCTTCTAGACCAGTGGGGAACTCTCGAACCACATGTGGTTCTTTGATCAAAATATATGTGGCCCTTCAGCTGTCTTTCTTCAATATTATTTTACAGTTTAAAAAACTATAACATCACTAAAAATCCGTTTGCTAAAATAAACAATGTAAAAGATCAAAAGAAAATAGGCACACTGCTCTCTAAAGTCTTAAATATCCCAGTGAGTGATTTTCTTTTGATCTTTAACTTAGTATTTTTAGTTTCGCCATCACCACTCATGAAAGTTGTTTAAATCTATTGTTCTTTCTTCATTTATGGACCTGCTCAGCATGTGGTGCTTCATATTTTTGAGTTGTGCATGGACATAAATTACGGTTTTCCTAAACCTGCTTTATTTATAGAAATTTTACAAATAATATAGAAGTAGTAATACTATAATAATTTTAGTAATTTATAGTAATACAGTAGAAAATTATTTTTTTTAAAAGTCATTTTGAAATTATAAACACATCCAAATGGCTCTTTACAAAAATGCATTTGCTACTAATAAAATGACTCTTTGCTAGAAAAGGCTACCGACTCCTGTTCTAGACTGATAATACAAACCGAAATTTGTAATAAGCTTTATGAGAGAACAAACATTTGACATGCCTTTCCAATTTCACTGGACAAACATTTAATCACGTCAGCTCACTGCTGAAATGTGCCAGTTTAAAAATAAAGAAACTGCTACAAAATATTTAAATGAGACTTTAACTTACCAGTCACAGATGGAGTCATAAGAAACCATATAATAACATGAGCATGCTTCAAACTAAACATTTTTCAAGAGTAAGATGAGTAAGAAAATAGTAGCCTAGCTGAGGTAAGAAAACCAGAAATGTCTTTGAGCTTAACAAAGAAATCATCTCACATGAATATAAGGAGCACGCAAATGTGACTCCACCTTAAAGGGTGGGGTGTGTGGTTTGGCGGCTTATGAAAACCATTGAAGTGTGGTTTGTCAACAGTTCATTATTGTGAAAAGATTGTCAAGATTTTGCAGTTTCTTCACTTGCTTAATGTTTAATAGGTATTTAATAACACTATATTAAACATATGAATACATATGAAATGGCTTCATTAGAAATATACAATGAGTAAAAACAAGCCTGCATCTCACTCCAAAAGGAACACAGGTGGCTCCTAGTAATGCATCAAGTATTATGTAATCCACAGATCTGTTCGTTCCCACTGTTAATACTTTAAAATATATTCAGCTTTAATTTAGTGTTTGGATAAATATGTGTATGGGGTAAACTATTGGGAATCACTGTGCATAACATGCTTTAATGGTGTCTGTTTTGGTTGTCTTCCCTAAAAATGTTAAACTATTACTTCTGAAACATAGACTGTTACTTACAGATCAGACTAGTGTTTACTGTTAGCAAGCATTTCTACTTATAAAGAACTTTAAATGCAGCATGAGCCAAAGATTTAGACAAGCTCTTTTCTGACAAAACAGTGTCCATTGTTTGCAGAAGCTCATTTTAAACGGGTGTCCATTCATGTGTCTGCAGCGTGTGGACTTTTAGGGAGGCTGCAGACCTGAAGCTAGGCAGATCTACGTCCAAGGCAGATCCATTAGGGCAGGGGTCTCAAACTCGCGGCCCGCGGGCCATTTGCGGCCCTCAGTGCAATATTTTGTGGCCCGCGCTGACCGCTGTACACTGACGGAATCAGCGGAGCGCCGTGTAAACAAAGGGGCGGGAATGCCGGTGACGTCACCACGCACCCCGCCCCTTTGTTAGACGCTGTGACGGGCGGGAAGTGGAGGGAACTCGCGCCGGCCAGAACCAAGGTAAGCTGTTCCCGCCCCTGCCTGCCACTTAGCTACCTATCTGCAGCCTGCCACCTACCTAGCTACAGCCTGCATCTTATATATATTATAGGTAGATACAGACTGGTACAGACTGATGTGACTGGAGTGGGGTGGGGGTGTTTATTTATACATATATACGCCTTTTTTTAGGTGAGGGAATGGAAGTTTTGAGTGTGTGAGAAGTTGGTGAGAAGTTATTCTCCACCTTGAACTTCAATAAGTCAAAGTACAGGTCTAGACTTAATGATGATCATCTTCAAGCCATACTGAGGGTCTCAACTGCTTCCGCTCTAAAGCCAAATGTGGTTCAGATTTGTGAGAAGAAGCCCTGTCAAGTCTCTGGCAGCAAGGAGTAGGCAAAAGATGCCAGAAGAACTGTTCATAATCTTCACTCAATGTTCTTTTAATGTTCAGGACACTTCATGTTCAGAAGAAATAATTAAAACTGTTAATAATGACATTTGAGGACTTTTTTTTGTGTGAAATCCCTTATGCGGCCCAGCCTCACCCAGACTTTGCCTCCTGCGGCCCCCAGGTAAATTGAGTTTGAGACCCCTGCATTAGGGGGAGGCCACGCAGTGTTATTATGAGCCTTCAGAACTTTATCATAATCATCACATCAAAAAAACAGGACACCATGGAGCCGTATTTCAAATACGCATTTAAATATTGTTTAGCAAATGCGTAACTTTTTAAACTTAAATTAAGGTCGATATGAGTACATCAATACGTAGACAAATTGGTGTAAGACAGTTCACATAAGGAGACAAAACAAAGGCAGTATGTTGTTATTTTGTCTCAAATTTAGCTTACATGTGGTAAGTTACGTGAGCTACTACATCCCACTTTCCTTAGTAACGTTAGGCTAATTTTCTTTGAATTATTTTGTCTGTCTTCAGTCTGCATGGTAATGCCTTTCCTGGTAAGATAAATATTTTTTTAACTTCATTGTTTTTTAAAAATATATATATATATATTTTAAAATAAACAATGGATTTTGCAGCAGCATTAAAATAGATTTACACATTGGATGTTAATATACAAAAGAATGTCTACAAAAGATGTATAATAGACCTATGTACAGAGAAATTACTCAACTGAAGGTAAAAGTTGATGTATCTTGATCTTTTTTAAAAAGTTGTTGATAAGTGTTAGATGAATGTTTGTTTATACTGACCTTGTATTTTTTCAGAATCTGTCTCTAAATGTTATACTTCAATAGAATACTTCAAATTTTCCATTTTTAATAAGTAGACCATTTCTTTATTTACTTTTAATGAATTTGTAAATCACCTTTCAGAAGCACAGTCTTCTATGGTGGACTAAGCAGTATAGTTTTTCCACAGAAATGACACTTACAGGAGCTGCAGAAGACAGTGCTGGTCCTGGAGGGCTGATGTCCTGCAGAGTTTAGTTCCAACCCTAATCAGAAAAAGCTAATCAATGGCTAAGGTATACTTCAAACTTTCACACAGGTGTGTTGAAGAAAGATTGATCTAAACTGGCCCTACAGGACATTAATGTGGTGACCCCATCACGATAAAGCATTGTTATTCCTCCAAACTTAACTTTACATTGAAAAAAATGTAAACTGTAATATATACATATATATATATATATATATATATATATATATATATATAAACATATATATTTATTTAGAGTTAAAATTGCATTGCATTCAATTACATTTAATGCGATCCTATTCTAAAAGATTATTTTATATTTTGGTAAAATGTCAATAGTAGATCAAACAATTAAATGTTTTTTCTCAAACTATCACAAATCTATAGAGGCATAGAGAATATCACAATTATAAGTGGTCTACTCATTTTGTTTTTCACATGTTTTCATAAATATTGCTTATCTTTTATTGTCTCAGAATATTTATTGTAACAGAAACATTTGTTAAAAAGAAATGAAATGTTTACATCTAATAGAATAGCAGGGAAAGTCAGATTCACATTTTGTAGCCGCAAATGACAAAAATAAATAAATAAATAAATAATGACGATCTTTTTTTATATAAACCCTAAACTGTACATATGTTTCTAGGAAGCGTAGTAAGAGCTTGATTAGCTAGCCCAAGTGTGTCTGATCAGAGTTGGAGCTAAATTTTGCAGAACACTGGCCCTCCAGGACAGAGTTTGGGCAACCCTGTGTTTGAGGCTGTTTTTGCCTCCTTTGATTTCCATTATATCAATATTTTATGACTGCAAAGTCATTGACATTATATAATCATGCATTTATGATGGTTTTCCCTGTTGTGAAGAGGTAAAACTTCATTTTTACCGTGGATCATTAGTTGCCTTCATTAACCCTTTAAGATAGGCCTGTGCAAAAAGTTTTATATGGAGTTCTATAAAATAAAACTGCATTATAATGTGTGAGTGCATAATTACACAGAGCAATGTTCTGAGAGCTGAGGAGTTTTAGAAGTTTCAGACATATCAAGGTAAGTGCACAAAGATGTCTCACGCTATACTCTATATACTCAAAGTCAGAAACTAAGCTTTTTGTTTTGCACTGCAACTGATGATCAACAGCAGAAACAAAAAAAAATTTGACCTCTTCCCAACAATCAAGAATTATATGGTGTCATGGATTTTCTATCACAAAATGCCATTATAATGGAAGTCAATGAGGCAAAAATAGCTACAAACATATCAAAATAGTACATTTTCCCAGATTGTGTTGTTGAATTTTCAAAGCACTTTTCTCAAAATGTCACCAAATTCATTGTATTTGCTGAAACGGAAAGTTGTGGCCAAATTAAGACTCAAAATCATCTCAGAGTGGATGAAAACATGCCCGACAGCACACAAGGGTTAAAAAATAAAATGTTTTTTAAAAATGCCACAAATTCTTGAGATGAATCCATTCTATAACACAAGGATTTCAAAAACACTAGTAAAATAGACAAACATGCAGTAAAGTTTGATCCTTTGCAATACAAGTCACACAGTCCTACCTGCAGACCTGGAGATGCTGTGTGTTCTTGCTGTACTTCACTGCACCAATTTAATACTGGTAACCGAGAAACATCAAATCAAGCACATCACAAATTGTGTGGTGCATTTAAAAACTTCTGGAAAGCCCATTCATGCAACTTAACAAGCAAATGTGTTTTTTACAGTAAAAAATATGAAAGTGATTGAGCTTTACTCTTTACTGTACGCCTCCATTAACAGCATGTTAACGCTACATATTTTATGAACACTCCAGAACAAACTTATCGAAAAACAGTATTTGTTTTACATCGGTATGACTTAAGAAAAACCAACCTGCCTGAAGACTTCACTGTTCAGGAAAACCCCCCAGACATAAACAAAACCAAGAAAAGGAAAATCAAAATGATGTTTTATTACAACTTATCAAACAAACAAACAGAAAATACAGAGACATGTTTACCCTTGTGCTGTACAAAGAATGATTAAATGGATGCAAAAGAATGATTTGAAGCCCTCACCAAGCTGTTGTTGGGGACATATAGTCCAACAGCACGGTACGGTGCTGTGAGGGCTTCACGACTAAGATGAAAACATTGAAACTTGCCTTGAATATGGAGATATTGTTAGGCCAGCAGCTTCAATATATTACGAACCTTTGACTAATATACCTGAATGAAACACAATCGGAAGAAAAGCAACACATGTATCAAATGTAACATTGATACTGTTGTTATGGTCATCTTTTTATTTAAGGACTTAATCCAAAACGTTTGTGATATTACATATCTCAAATGTCCAGTATAAAGTTTTTTCTTCAGCAGTGAGTTTGGGTACTATTAAGCACAAGATGAGAAAACGTTTAACCAAACCTAATGGGATGACATCGCTGCTTCAGTATCGGCTACCTGGAGACATTACAGATGGCCTTATGCCCATGGGAGGCCCAACTGGGCCAGCTTGGTATGAGGGCACCATTGGGGCATTCTGTCCATAAGGAGGCATGCCAACTGCCATAAAACCAGACATGGCTTGAGGAGGACCACCATACTGACCTGAAAGAAATAGGGCAATGCTTTAACATGGAAATGCATAGCATTTTCACTTCCACTAAAATGTTCCAAAATGTTGATTTTATAAACAAATCCATTTAATGATTGGAACGTGATTAAATAATGTATTGTTTTTGGGGACTTATCTTTTATTCATAGATGATCTCCAATAAAATGTTTTTTTTTCTGATTTGTAAAGTATTGACAGCTCTCAAAACACAACCATTGTTGATGTTAACATGCTATGTTTGTGATAATCATGATGAAAATTCATCCAAAAGGATTCTGGTTTTGCTTGTAGCAACTAATTACCCAGTTTGTAGAAGTCATTTTGTCAGTAAAGGTCACAGTATTTGATAAAACTGATAGATAAGGTTTCCATTTCATGTTGTTATGTAGAATGGAGTCATTAAACAAATTCTGCTTTTATTTGCTTGTAATTGTCATGTAATATTATGTAACTATAATAGTATCACACAGCGTCGATATAAAACAAAATATAAAAAATATATATAAAAAAAAAAACTAAATGAAGCCTTTAATTGCTTTTTTAGCTTTACAATACAAAAGTCCTTTTACAGAATGGGCAAAGAACGTCTCTGTTCCATGTATAACTTTTCACTTTAGATTTATATAGATCCATAAACCAAATGAAGTGTTGAAAACAAATACTCAACATCAGTACTGTGTCTAACATTAAATTACAACATAAGTCATTTTAATTTGTTTGGATTTAATGGTGACTAACCTTCTAAAAGGAGAATGATCTACACACACATCTTACCATGTATGGGATGTCTCATTCCAGGCTGCTGAGGAGGCATCATTCCTCCCACTGCTCCACTAGGGGGAGCTGAGGCAGCCGTGGCTGCAGTCTGCCCAGGACGAGGGATTAGCCTCTGATACCTAGGCAGCTGAGCTCGTCTCTCTTCCTGAATTAGAGCCAAGACAATAACAATGCAATCAGGCAACTACAGTAACAAAAACCCATTTGGACTGTACGCATTCTCATAGCACAACTTCATACTTTAACTAGCACTACTTTTAACTAGAATAAATTCGTATTTTATTTCAGCAGTTTATGCATTCACATTACTTACGGTCAAAAAAAGTTGTCAGAGCAAAACTCAAGCACTCACCAGCGAGATATCCTCATCAGGGTGCATCAACTTACTGGTAGCACTCAAGGTGGTGAGGGTGGCTGGCTTACTTGTGACTGTGGCAGGGGGCTTGGCCACAGTGCTGGAGGAGGCAGGCACCACAGAGGAAGTGGAAGGAGGCTGGGTGTAGGCTGGGAATGTCACCTTGGGAGAATCAGAGCTGGTTGATGATGGTCCTGATACTGTCTGCTGCGCCTGAAAACCAAGACTGATATTTTGACAACATGCTCGCAATAAAAGAGATTTTGCCTATTCACAGCAAACAATGGCACAAAAGTGAAATTAAGGTCAAATATAGCCGTTTCAGACTATTTAAAATAAGCCTGCTAACTTCATAATTTAGGGCAAACTGGTATAAAAAGAACGCAAAAGCTTTGTTTTAAAAAAAGACTTGTGATGTACTTTAAAAAAAAATCCTATGCATGCATGCATCTACAACTAAAATAAATAAACAACCAGCTTAACATCAAGTTTTATATCAGGGCTGCAACTGACAATTCGTTTCAGATATATAGATTTGACATCAAATGAAGCCAAACCATTTTCAGAAAAACCCCCGTTCCTAATCCTTTTTCCCAGTGTTGTCCTTGGCTCAAGAAACAAACACAGTCAATGTATGCATCTAGATACATTTTACAAAACCTGTTAAAATACATGAGCTAAGAGTTTACCAAACAAACAACAACAACAGACTAAACAACTGACTTCCATTCAGATCTATGTGAATACAGGAAACACGCATCAAGCCATTTTGGTAAACTCTTAACCAGGAGGGTCGTTGTCCTTCAGATTTTAGCTTTAAACCTAATCAAACATGCTGTTGTTGACTTCAAACTTCCAGCCAGGTGTGTTGAAGCTAAACTCTACAAGACACCAACTCCTGATCTAGACCTACAAATCCATGTGTAGACATACAATCAAAAGAAGATAGATATTTATTGAAGATTGACAGTGTAAAATAATCTCATGACTTTCAAACATTTATGGATAAGAATACAAGTATGGTATATAAACAGCCAGGGAAAAATCATTTATCTGTGCTTGCATTAGTAATTATGTGTTTGCCAAGCAACTGAGAGGCCAAGTTGCATTAAACTATGTGATTTAAACCACTTAAAATTGCTCATGTTAAGGACAACTTGGGAAACACACTATTCCTGTGGCAGCTTACTTTTCTATATCACAAGTCTTGTCTTTAGAAACAGGTTATTCAGTACAGTAAAAAACAGCTTAAAGAGTTAATTAGGGATGCTCATAATAATAGATTAACCGTTAACTGAAAGGATGCGTTTGTAACCAATTAATGGTTTCAGTTAAACGATTACAAAATATATTTTTATTTTGGCATGGTTTCCGCTACATTCATTCTTCCATGGCAGGGCGCCACATCAAAATGCATCCCTCCACGGCTACATTGCAGCTTCCTATTTAAAACATTCAGTCATTGTTGTTGTTGTTTTTTATTAGCGGGTTATAATCGCACTAAAACGTATTAAAAGTTGAAGTTAATATTAAAAGTGAATTATAACAGTGCAAACGTTTCTGTAACCGCAGTAGTGCTGTGTGTCATTTGTTTAATCCTTTGAGGTTACGTGCTGACTGACTGACTGACAGGTGTGTGATGCAGGAGGCCAGCAAACCACAATGTAGCTTTCAGTTAGGATGAACACAGTTTCTGTAATTATACTTTATTTATAGATAAAGGTCTGTGGCTCTGCATATAATGACTTTATCTTGCTGGAGTTTATAGCCGTTTCACTTTACTTCAGGATGCATTAATGCTGCTCTGCTGGTCTACTGGAGACATTCAGAAATAATCTTAGCAAATCTAATAAATGTTGGAGACATACATACTCACTACACGAGCGCACCAAATTGCATATCAGCATTGTTTATTTGAGAACGTACAAGATCTGCGCTTGAGCAGTGAATATTTGAGGGGGCATGCAAGAGGTTTTGTGCACGAGCAGAGGAAATCGGCGTGCAAGCACACATCTATTGCATGTAAATACGATCTCGATTTTACTGCGCTCACGACATTTCTCCATTTGTCATTAAAATAACGCCATAAGTAGTTAGTAGATTGTGTAAAAGGTCTGCTGCAACAGCTGGAAAAAAATCCCAGAGAAAACACTGAAGATATAGGAGAGGCTGCTCGCTGTTTCAAGTTATCCAGAGCTGTATGACTTTGCAAATCTTGAATATCACAATATTGTCAAATATTACAATTGTAACAATATAGACAGCAAAACTCTTGCACAATCAATACCCAGCTGATTCAGTCGTTTCATAGTGACAAAAAAAAAAAAAAAAAGAGCACCACACTGCTTTTTGACCTTGTCAACATAAAAGGCAGTCGGGTACGCCTTGAGTTTTGGAACAGAAAAGCGCGTTTGCTGTGATCGGCCCCTTGTTCAACTGCAACACATTTGTGTTAACTCACGTGCCTACAGACATACTTGCCAAAGAAGCAAAATGGAAGAAGAATATTGCTGTTTAATAGACGAGTCGATGCCAAACCAGCGCTGATGCTGATGGCCTCCTGGATCTGTGTCATAGACACAACAAATAGGCTTTAGCTTTAATTTTACAGATTATAAAGCATGTATGCAAATTAATGCAATATCATATTTAAACAACAAAACTGTTTACAAAAAGTCAACATATGCGTGCGGTTTCAGTATTGTCTTTTCATCACACAGCGCGCGCACTTGAACCGCGAGTGAGAGGAAACCATATATCAAGACATAATCTTTAAAATAATGATTTCTATTAAAAATGTAAAAAGGTTTTGTGATATAATAATAAAACCGGGGCATTAAATAAATGCATATTTTCCGTGGAGTGAACGATTTGAGGAAGTCTGCTATTTTTATTTGACGGAAGACAAAAACATGATTGGAAAAAAAACAGCCTATGCCGGTTCCTAAAAAGGATTCAGTCAGTGTTTTCGTTTTGTAATCTAAATTAATAATTTTGGGGGAAAATAATTTAGGACAGGCCTATTTATTTTATTCTGTTTTCTATGCTGTTGGAAACACTGCAGGTGTGTGAAGATGCTCTGTTATTATGTTCTGTCATTGTTATGCTAGCATGTTAAAATAAATCAGTATTTTAAAATGCAATATTTAACGTGCCAAACACAAAATAGACACGTCAATTTATCATTACTACTTTACCTTAATAATAATATAATATTAATCTGACCAGTTAACCGTAAATATTCAATTAACGAGCGGCGGCTGTCGGTTAGCAAAATTAACCGAAATGAGCATCCCTAGTGTTGATGCATAGTGACATCTAATTGACGATCAAATTAGTTTCTGATTATCTCCATTATCAATTAGTTGTTGCAGCCCTGTTTCATTTGCATGTTCAAATATAACAATATGTGCGCATATACATTTTACACGAACGTCAGAAACTAAAATCGGAAGATCTCTGATCTGCATGCGTTGTTGCAGTACAAAGAAGCACACAAACTTGTGCGTACTTGAGCAGAGTTAGGGAACAGAGGCTTAGATGAGGCAGACTGTATCTCTGCACTTGCAGGAAGAGCACTGGGGTTTGCAACACCAGTCCCCATCTGAAGCAGAGAGAAAGGTTAATAGTAAAAAAAAAAAAAAAAGCTTTGTTTTGAGCCCTTGAGATGATTCACCAACAAAATATGAAGTGTCCGTTACTGTAGTAATGTAGCTTACTGCATATATTTTAAAAACACATACCTTTACAAGTAAAACGACTTGTCAATGGAACAGCACTCAAAGTGACAATCTTCAATTTTTACTATAAAGTACTAATTCTTGTACAGATTTGCCACATTTTAGATTCAGATTAAAACATTTCTTATCCTTTTATAAAATGTAAACTAGCTGTTGTTTTTTACTTGCATCACAATTGTTCAAAAATAATGCGTTGCCCAATCATAACATTGCTACATTTTTGATTGCATCTATAATGCAATGCACGATTTCAAACTCTTAAAGACAATTCACACATTACCATTCAATTAATGACCCCTATAAATATATTTGTTTACAATCTCGAGCCATACACATACTCAACCCTTAAAATGAGTTTGGCTGTAAGCTCAGTACCTGCACAGCGCTGGGGAAGAGTGGTTTGGATGCAGCAGACTGTGTGATGGGCACAGCTGGTCTGCTGGCCAGTCCAGGAACTGTGACGGGGGCTGCAGGTGCCATAGAAGGCATGCCAGGTCTGCCAACATGATGTGGCATTCCTACAAAAAAACAACATTTTTTACTACAACTTTATGATCAAGCAATATCATCCTTAACCATCCAATTTGTCAAATACATCTAATAAAATCTTTACAATGCAACTTTTTTTTTACAGAAAAAAAATTATTTCAGTACATCACTTAAAATAGAAACTTCCTTACTAATATGCCCTGGGCTTTTAAAATAATGTATCAGCAGGAACTAGGCACAAAACTGACCTGGTAGCATACCAGGCATCATTGGAGGCATTGCTGGGCCAGGGGGCATCATCCCTCTCATTGGCATCATGCTATGAACAAGAAAAACAAATATAAATCACATTGGACCATAATATGCACTTTTAACCAACACAAGCACACATTAAAGACATACCCTGGTGGCATAACTGGCATTACTGGGGGCATTCCTGGAATCATTGGTGGTACACCAGTCAACATGGGTGGCATGCCTTTAAAAACACACACGATGCGTTAAGGTACACTTTTTTTATTTAAGCTGCACTCAGCAAAATACTGGCATACCCACCTGCATAACCAGCAGACGGCATGCCCTGAGCCTGAGGTCCAAGATGGATGCCTGTCTGAGTCATTGGAGCCATGTAGGCAGCCTGAGGTTGAGCAGTAGGCTGCTGAAATGATGAAGGTCCAGCTTCGTCCTCATCATCGTCGTCATCTTCATCAGAATCATCTTGATTCTGTTTCTTTTTCTGACTCTCTGTTGGGAGTGAACAAGTTTATAATGATGTTTTAATTGACCCTTCGCTAAGCCACACCCTAAGACCGCCACATAACAATCGTGGCTTAGCAACTGTAGCTACGTGCTGGAGGTCTGTAAACCTTTCAAGCGAGGAAAACAAGCCAAAGCGTTGTGCATATGGATTGAGAAATATGGGTACTGAAACCCTTGGTAACCGGTATGTACCGGTATTAAATCAGCATATGAATTTCGGTGCCATTAAGTGCTGCGGCAAAAATGTAATTTCATAATGCAAATCTCAAATTCATGCAAACCAACAAATGATCAAAGGAAATGTGTGTGTTAATACAATATGAATTGATGTTTACATTAAACTGTAATTATATTGTTCTATTAAAATAATTTTTTTAAATATTTTGTCAAACTAAATATTTTTGTAGAGTCATCCACCATCTTTTTGTGGCTAAAAAGTATTGATTCAGGCACCGGTACCGTTTTAAAAGTATCGATTTGGCACCGGTACCGTTTTAAAAGTATCGATTTAGCACCGGTATCGAAAAAAAAAAAAAAAACGATACCCAACCCTATACCCGGTATCCTAAAAGTTTGGACGGGATGGTGGACTTTTTTTCTCTTTCCAAAACCCAAGGGGAGAAATACCAGCGTAGATCAAGCTGTGTGAGGAACGTTAAAGGAGCAGAGTTAATTTGGTTTTGTTTTCGATATTTCTAACACATTCAGTGATAGACGGCAATAACTCACACACCTCTTACCATAAAAAGATCTAAACTTTGTTACCTAAAAAATTACAAAGCAGGTTATGTTTCCCAGCTGTCTTTCTTTTTTTTTCCTCCGCTCGATATTATGACCACTGCTCCATTTAAGCCCTCGCCATAGTAGTCATGCTAATTAGGGATGCACGATATATCGGTGGCCATATCGTTATCGGCCGATAAATGCTGTTTTTTAGATTATCGTTATCGATCCGACATCTAAATTAGGCCGATATCTTTAAGCCGAAAAATTGCATAATTGTAAAGACCTGCCTGTCTCGCACAGGCCTGTGCATGATAATAGAGCTCTCTTCAGACTTTTTATTTCTTCAAAGTCCGTCCTTGCTTCATGTGGTATTGCTGTGCATTAATAACTCAGTAAGTAAGCATGTTGCTTATCATTTTAGATATGTTTGATGGAGTGTCATTGTGTATTTTGCTTTAAATCGCCTTTAAATATATATATATATACACACACACACACACACACACACACACACACACACATGTATGTGTATATATTAGTGCTGTCAAACGATTAAAAAAATTAAAAAAATTTACTAATTAATCGCACCTTTTCAAAAAAATTTATCGTGATTAATTGCATTTAAAATACTGAAAGTTGTAATTTTGGCTATTTAAATGTAAAATTAATGTAAACGCAAGACAAAAACTATTTAAATTCAAAATATAATTGTTTATTAGAATTAAAATTTTCAATATAATTGTTTAATAGAATTTTTGTTTAACTTGTAACACAGATTTCTTCATGTAAACAACATACCCACAATAAACCATCAAGATCCTGGCTTGACAGCCATTTTTATTAAAAAAATCAAAACACAGGCATGTTAATGACATTTAAATTTCAAAACAATCAATGCATTGATTGATTTCCATGTTGGATTCTAAGTGGACTGCAAAAAAATGCCAAAATTAAAAATTATAATCATAAACTATAGAATACAAACTGTTGCACTCATTGTAAAGTTTTATTGCTGTGAGTAGAGAGCATTAGTTATAGAGTAGAAACAATTTTGCTTAATCCTCCTTTACATTTATCCAGTTGCTAAGACTAGGAGTATCACGCAAGTGCACAGAGACTCCCAAATGCCCGCAAATGAATGATAATTTCTCGCAAACCGGTTGTTAAATACATTGCACACCCCTCTCCCCCCGCATCCCTCCTAGCTCTTCAGGTAGCCTATGTCGTGCGCAACTCACCCCCACCGTCCTTCAGGTACGTCTCGCGCGCAACTCACCCCCACCGTCCTTCAGGTACGGCTCGCGCGCACACGCCCCTACTCGGATACGTCGCTTACTCCACCCCTGACACCCCTCAACGGGCCTGACACAGACACACACACAACGCGCTGCAGACGTTTTGGCCCCATCGGCCTTCCATACTGGAGCGACTCCCCTCAGATTTAACACACATGATCACATTCATCAAATTTGCTTAAACTAAGCGTCCTAAAGTATTACTGTATTTCACAAGGATTCTGACACAACAACGCGAAGCATATGCTTTCGTTGCGTTTAATGAGGAAACACGCTAAACTTGGAGGGCTCATGCTGAAAGGCAGAGTAATGCCCTGTTTTTGAGAGCTCGCGACTTCACCAGAGACTTTGAGTACATTTACATAAGACACCAATACTCCGATTTTAATATGATTAAGATTATACTCTTATTAAAAGTCTACCGCGTAGCCTAAGCAGTGATTTCATTACCTTAAAGGAACACCGAGTCACGAAATGTGTAGGATTTTCTTTTCTGTTCGCCATGCGGTATCAACTTACAACAGAAGTCGAAAGTTAAAAATGAAACACCCGAAATTGCATGAAACTTTGGAGAGCCTGGTGATGTGACTAATTGTTTATACTGAAACTTGCGTTCATAAAGCGCTTCCTTGGTCTTAGACCCATTTCTTGCATGTTGAACACAGGTCCACCACAACAGGAAGTAAAAAAAAAAAAAACCTGCAACTGCGTACATTTTTTTAACGCGTTAATTATTTAAAATTAATCGCATGCGTTAATGCACTAATTTTTGACAGCGCTAGTGTATATATATACAGGCCTCCAAGTCTGAAGAGTTATCGGTTATCATTATCGGCCAAAAAATCCATATCGGTGCATCCCTAATGCTAATAGTAATCATATTTCCATCCTTTTCAAGCTACGATGATTTGAAATTGCCTATCAACAGTACAAAATAGAGATGTGATCACAAACTGAGCATTTGCGATCAATATACTTCACTCGCAGCTGTTTTCCAGTCATTTATAACCATCATGTCCATGTCAGCGTTACAATTCACTGATGTTTTTGTCAATGTTTTAGAGATTTAGTCATCTGTTTACTTCTGCTATTTATACTTTGATTTGCATTTCAATTTTTTCCCCCTTAACTGCAAATTAGAATAGAAACTGGATAAAAAGCACACAAACGTACAGACAGTTGTAGGTACTGTACATTGTTATGGGTCAATGATGATAATATTTAGCACAAATCCATCAATTTCGCCTTTCTGGCCTTTTCTTTTTATGAATGAATTAGAAGCAATGTCAATGCGTGTTTCCTCGTCAGTTAGTAACGCTATATTTCATTGCACAACAATTAATCTAAGAGATTTTTTGCCGAAAAAAAAAAAAAAAAAAAAGAGCGGTTTAATTAGTTAATATTGGATAATTTTTAAATTTCACCTCTCCTGCTGTGCATGAACTAAGCTTTTGAATTAACAGCGTATGAGGCGGCTAGGCTAACCTAGCTTTAATTTTGATCAAGTTATTCTCTAATCGGTTGCCTAAAGACCAGTTACCAACCTATGTCACACATGACGTCACACGGGTCCCCGGGTGCAAAAAAGACAGGCTGCAATAGCAAACATGTTGTGTTGTGCGGTAAGATGCCGAATTAGAAAGTCCACAAATAGAAAACATAACTTTGACCATACACCACACTGCTTTAATGCTAACTGCAGACGTCTTTGGCTAAAAGGGAGCTGAAAGAAGTGACGACCTAATTAGAAATGCTGGACTCTGCAGTTTATGCAAGTTCACGCTATGCTTAATCATACACATTACTCGTTTTTGATTGCAGAAAAGATTCAGCAAAAACAGTTACATATTTTTAATTAAATTAAAGACACTGAATGCTAAGAAACGTGAAAGTAAGTTATTAAGGTAAACTTTCAAGTTTTTTTTTTTATTCACACATTCATTCAGTGACAACTTGTGAAAAACTCCCTATATTGTTTACTATGGCACTTTGAATATTCGGTCTGAAATAGCCTGCAAGTGTGACTTGAAAACAACATTAACACTGTTTATTTGACTGTGAACAATGATGTACTTTGATAGTCATTTACTGCTAATATGATTTCGCTATTTAGAGTTTGCAAATAATACTTTAAGGAAATTATATTATTTAGGAGAAAGTCTGAATGTGTGAATATAAAACCAACTTTACTTCTATGTGCAGGTTCACATACCCTGCCGTACAGGTTCAGTTCGCTGTCAGAATGCAGTCGTTTTGCGTGTTGGTGATTAATTACCCAGGCCTTGTACAGCTCCGTCTGCTTTCCTTGTCTTTGGCTAGGCAGAATCTCGTTTTTAGCTCTACATGGTTTTGAATCTGGTCATCATGGAGCATTATTTCTTGCACATGACCACACAGAACAACACTGTTGGCATCCAAAGACTTGTAGACCTTTAACTTCTCTCTTGTAAAATCACTTGGAGCTTCAATGAGATTGTATATCGGATATTACACCTGTTCGCCAAAATAAATAATTATATCCCTGGCAATGTATGACACTGATGCATCCATATTGTAATAGACATGCCAGGCACGAAAGCTTGACAGGCGTAGCAACACTAACTGAGGACGGGGCTTAGCGAAGGGTCTGTGTCTTTATACAGACAGATAGACAAATAAAGAATTTTGCAGAATGGTGTATCTTGGTCTTTTATGAATAAATTGGTTTACCTGACTGTGATTGTAACACCATACCTTGTGATTTCTGTTCAAGAACTCTTCTCCGGTCTTGTATGTCTTTTTCTGGAATACCTTCCATGCCATAAATTTCCAGTTCTATATCTGTTCTTCCCGGAATTGCGTTAGGAACCCCATCAATTGTATCTTTGTGTACCTTTAAAAACATTTAACGTTAAATTAAATAACAATCTCTTACCAACCACAATGAAAATTTACAAGCACAACTGTCCATACCTGCATGCAATGTATGGCTAATCCGGGTCCAGTGTACAGCTTCTTGTGACATATGTGACATTTGAAGTGTTTAGCTTTCTGGTGCTGAATGAGAATCTTCTCATCGTCAAAATCTCTGTTGCAGTACCTTGAAGTTGTAGTCAAGGCTCATATATTAATGCACACGTGCCTACGACAAAGCGGAATAAAAACATCAAAAAGCAATTAAAAAATGAAACAATTTCATAGTGAAATAACCACTAACGTTATCACTTAAGTTAGTTCGATTCATATAACTCGGAACGTTCAGACAGCATAAATAATGACAAATAACGTTTACAGTTAACTTTATCCTGAGCAGTTAACGTTACTTAGGAGAGGCAAAACCCACTTCATCCCAAAAGACGTTAATACAACTAAATGTAAAAAAAACGAAACATACGGGTTTACAATTGTCTTACGACGTCTATTTGTATCAGACATAGCTGCAGTGTGAAACTGATAGCATGAGCTTAAATTTATGATCATGCTGCGGCACACATATCACTGAAAAGGATACCAGCACCATGGTTTCAACTGCTTCTTCTTCTTTCGTCCCATTTTGATAAACACTTTTTATCGTCTTCTAAACAAACCGGTAAGGGATTCAAACCCGTCACTAAACAGCTCTTTGGTAGAAACACAAAAAAAAAATGGCGCGGCACTGCTGAGTTAAGACATTTTTACCCACAATGCAGAGCCACATGACGCAAAGACGCAGCTGCGTGATGTGATGACACGCACGCTCTTCTGATGACGTTGTCTGAGGAAAGAAAAGAGCCCCCGTTACAATCCACAACCTGTATCACAAATTTCGCTTAATTTGGTCGATTCTTATATTAGAAGATTATGTTTTGCTTCTCCCTGTAAAAATAATAATAGGGTAATCCGTTCATTATTTCAGCAGAATATTATTAGTCTACTAGGTGTGACTGATTCAGTGGATAATATTTGTTGAGAAAAGGTATGGATGCTTCCGCAGTTATTTTCTAACAAATAAAGTAAAAGAGGTTTCTTATAAAATAATTCATTAACTCAATCCATCATTATCATTATATGAAAAAATATAAAAGTGATATCTCCTACAACTGTTCAGTTTGGGATGACTGTTTTGAAACTGTTATTAATATCTTTTGGAACTGTCCATTTACAAAAACATTTTGGAAAAGTCTTGAATTTTATTTAAAGTAAAATTTATAATGAATGTACTTTGTATAGGAAACATGTAGTGGGCTTCACTAGCCCCTTTCACACAGTGATACCGGAAAATATCCGGAAAATTTACGGAACGACTTTACCGGTATGTTCAAAAAAGCGCTGTTCACACAGGCGAGGACGTTACGGAAATTTTCCGGAAAAGAGCATTCACACATCCATTCCAAAATACCGGTAAATTCTGACATCATTCACCACAAATGAGCTTTAAACGGCTGCGCTTGTATTTGTAAACATTTGACTAAATTACAAACTCTTTTGATGATCAATATTGTAAACAACTTTCACTGGATCATATTCGCATGTCGAGATGTTCATAATATGTGCGTGTGCTGCCGCTCACAGGCTGTTTCATGGGCACACGCGCAAAGCTTGAAGGTAAACAAACAACGGCTTATCATAAGCATCTTATCGATGATTATTTGCACAGTTGGCATTAAGGAGAACATATAAACGTTATCTGACTAACTTCTAGCAGCTAAATGCGTCTGGAAAAATATTCAAAGGCTTTTATTCTCACAAACCGCGCGGACGTAAATGCGTCTGACTGTTGTGATTGGCTAAAGCAGAAGTCTTACGTCAGCACGTTCTAGACGAGCACGCGCTTATTCCGGAAATATTCCTTCTGCGTTCACACAGCGCAGCATTCCGGCAAATTGCCGGTAATGTTACAAGTTCTCTTTCCGGAAAATAGCCAGAACGAATTTACCGGTATTTTCAAAAAGGACCTGTTCACACATACAACCTTTCCGGAAAATTGCCGGTAATTTTCCGGAAAGGTCTGTATGTGTGAAAGGGGCTACTGAGTAAGAACAACCTAAAAGTAAATAGTTGTATGTGGTAAACTTAGTTTTGCTGCTTGTTAAATTTCACAACGAATTTAAACTATACCTTTTATTGGTTTTTTTTAATTTATTGATTTATCTAAAAACTTCAACTGTCTGTGGCTCTTTCCCTATAATGAGTAGTATTTGCTTTTTCAATATGTATTTTAACCACCTGTGTTAGCTGTTTTCTTTTGTTTTTGTTTTTAGCTGTTCCTGTTTTTTCCTCTTCATTGTTGAAGATACTTATTCTGCCTATTTGATGTTATATGTATAAGTTGTATACACTGCTTATGGGCTTAATAAAAAAAAGTAATTATAAAGAGATTCTTTCTTATATAAAATCCTTTAAGAGAATGAAAACAAAAAGTGCTATTAATCTTCTGTCTCTAATAGAAAAGTATAAATAACAGGAAAGTCCTAGTCCTTTTTATTTAATTATTATATTTAGTTATGCATTATTTTACTTATAATTATTTATGTAAGATGTTGTTTTGGGAATGTCCCTTTGTTAAATCTTTCTGGTCTGATGTGAATTCTCCATTTGTCAAAAAGGTTTGGTGACTTTGCTTTAAGCTACAGACATATTATTTTGGAGTTTTAATTTAAAGAAAAACAATTCCTTAATTCAAATTTTGTATAAAGCTCATATTATTTATTGAAAAGTTCTTTATACATAAATGTAACAAAAATTTTGTATTATTTAAAACAAGAATTGGAACTGTATGTAATCTCATAACAAGAAAGCAGTTAACACTTATAAAATGTGCTTTATTTAGTATTCTGCTTTAATTTGTATTATTTTTTCATGTTCCCTCTCTTATTTTTTTTGTTTCTTCTTTTTCTATCTCGTTGTCTTTATTTTTTGCTTTATCATTATTATATTTCTTTAAAATTGTCGCATTTATCTTGTTGCAAAAAATATTTGTATTGTTTGTACTATACTTCTGTTTGTATTTCTATCTGTTGTAATTGCCTGTTGTTATTGCAATAAAAAAACTTGAAAAATAAAAAAAAACTTGCCAAATGCTTCAAAGTTTGTCATAAAGAGTTTTTTTCACCAAGTTATGTGCATTTATTTAAAACATTTCTTTACCTTAATGAGGGGACAGAGTTTTTTTTTTTTTTTTGATAAAAATGTGACAATAGATATGTGAGACGAAAGTTCCACATATCCAACAAAACAAGAGAGATACATTTTACGATTTTGCATAATGTATATCCTACAAATTCCAAAATTGCTAAATATTTTGTGTACTTTTTGCAATATACATGAATAAACTTTATTTTATTTATTCCATAACTGCACTCACATTCAATTTCTTTGGGATTTTTTGTTTTGTTTGAAGTTTGAAGCAAGCAATTGTATCAAATCAATGAAACATTTTTGAAAAATGTATGTCATTGTTAACAATTTTTCTTGATTAAGTCAGTACCTAGACAAATAACTACAGTGATATGTAAAACATTATTAATTTTGCTGTAGACCACATTAAGTAAATAATGCATTTGGAATTTTGATGGTCCAGTGCAGATCAGGCAGAAATGACTAGCTAAATAATATAACCTTACCCAGCTATGTAACCTAACCTATATAAACCTAACCTTGCTATATGTACCATGAAACTTTGAACCAAGTTGTTGAGTTATTTTTTCTAAGAGTTAGAGCTTAGAGAGCAGCTGTTTTTTTTTTTTTTTTTTTTTCTATGTTCCAATGCATTTCTCATGAGCGTCTGCAGTGCATAAGCAATACAATTAGTTGTGTTTTCATAAACCTCTGGCAATGGTCAAAAATGTTTAGACCTCATTTACACCCATTTTTATTTAGTATTGTCAACTTGTGATTAGATTGATGAAATGCATCTTAACACCAGAGGTAAAAGTCCTCTGAGTGAAACAAATTTTGTATAGGACTAACACAGTCTGCTCTTTTAAGCGTTTTCACCCACCTTGAAGTAGATGGTTATTTAATGGCTTCTGCAGACTACTGTGATCGTCTTAATTACCAAGTTCACATATATAGGAACCGAAAAACACTGTTAAAGCATTCCATGCATCTTTAGTTGTTGAACTACAATCTCATGAGCAGTGTAAGATTATATATTACATATCAGATCAGGGTGTGCGTTTATTAGTTTTGTGTTGCTTACTCTAATATCAACACATCGTAGTCTACTGGCCATAGTAAATGCTTACTTTGATGACCTGATGCAGAAGTTTTATGTTTTGGCACACAATGATTTTGGAGCTTTATTTCAGTTGAACCACTGAAGATACATGGAACATTTTGACAATGTTTTTGGTTCCTCTTCTGGACTTGGAACATTTCTGAACCATTGCTGTCTATGGAGGATGAGAGAGCTTTCATATGTCATGAAAAATATTAATAACAGAATTTTCAGATTAACAAACCTTTAACAAAAAAGTGAACAAAAACAGTTTTTTCCAACAAACACTGAGATTGGAATATGGACTCATTTTCACTGATCCTAGCATGATGTACGTTTATACTGTCAGTTGCAACTCACATTTACACAGTTTTAAGTCGGAGATGGACTGGGCATGTAGAAACAGAAGTGTCACTTACAAAAACAAAGGTTTGAATTGGATTTCACAGTCAGTAAGACAATGTCATGCTTTATGCTGCTTTACTTGGACTTTAAAGTAAATTGTCCTGCTGCTTGACATGGTGAGGCACTTTCTGTAGTTTGTGGCTAAAGCCTGATGATAACAAAAACAAAAATTATCTTTGCATACTTACAAGGTACACAGCGGATATTTACATTCATAAAATAAATTATTTGGGACACGTCATACCAAGGCATTTTTTTGTTGTTGTTTTAGAACAAAACAGGAAATTGGGCTAGGACATTGGGAAAGGCTTCAGTATCACTATGAACTTAAAATGTTAGTGAATCAATTTCTTTTACTTAAAAACACTGCAAAAACAAGTAAAAGTAAGTTATGATTTTATTCGTCAATCCTTTAATAACTTTTGAGCAATGGTTTTAGAAGTATCTGACCAAAAGTTACTCTCTATACACTACATGACAAAATTCTTGTCATGTAGGAACAACAAATAACAACTTGATCATTTGGTATCAGAAGTTGCTTATATGAAAGCCTTGGTTTTTATTATTTAATTAGGACAGTAAGGTCTGTCTTTGCTTAGACAAAAGTCTTGTCACTTAACAGAAATAATGTACAGTATATAAAGTCAAGATGCAGTAAAAAAAGAATTACTAATGTGTATGACTCCCATAAGCTTGGACGACTGCATCTATACATCTCTGCAAGGATTCAAATAACTTATTAATAAAGTCATCTGGAATGACAAAGAAAGTGTTCTTGCAGGACTCCCAGAGTTCATAAAGATTCTTTGGATTCACCTTTAATGCCTTCTCCTTCATCTTACCCCAGACATGCTCAATGTTCATGCCTGGTGACTGTGCGGGCCAATCCTGGAGCACCTTGACCTTTTTTGCTTTCAGGAACTTTGATGTGGAGGCTAAGGTATGAGAAGGAGTGCTATCCTACTGAATAAATTCCCCTTTCCTGTGTTTTGTAATGTAATGGGCAGCACAAATGTCTTGATACCTCAGGCTATTGATGTTACCATCCACTCTGAACATCTCTTGGATGCCCCATACTGAAT